CACTGCACAGCCAGGGGAGGTGTGGCAAAACACACACACACACACACACACACAATGGGAGAGACGTTGAGAGAGCTCAGCAGTCAGAGGCAAATGCCTTGCATGCACCAGGATTCAAGCAGGACCCCTAGAAGAGGCCCCGGTGGTTCCCGGCACCCAAGGGCCAGAGCAACACCGCATTCTCAGGCCTTAGCACTGGCTCATTGACCAAGAGTCACTGGGAGTCGTCCCTGAGTCCCCATGGTGCTCCCTGGGAGGTCCCCGCCACCAAAGAAGGCATATGGGGTAAGTGTAAACAATTGATCAGTCTGGGTAAGGGGGTTACTGCCATCCTCTATAGGAGGGCACCTCTTTGTAAACAAGAAGTGATTCCTGCCTTTAATCCAAAGGGTACTCTGCACTGTTCTCATGCGCAGAGTCTGCTGCCCCCGCGCCTGGCTGTCCTCACTGGGGCCCCTTGGAGGGGAGCGGGTTGAGTTTTCCTCCCCACCGTGACCAGGGCTCCGGCAGCTGAAGACCTCCAGAACCAGTCACCACCATGCTGAGACCACTCTCCACAAGCATGAAGGTACCGGCAGAGGAACAAAGGCATGCGGGTCCCGGGACTGAGATCTCCAAGCCTGCTTGGATTGGGGATGAGCATCCTCCACCTAGCTCCTCCATATTCCAGTAGGCAGGGGTCACACCCACCAACTGGCCCCCTGGCGCCGTGTAATCCCATCAACGGCCAAGACCCAGAGACTATAAAACCCAGCTCCTTGGAAGCGCGAGGCCGCATTTGCGGCCGGGCGACATCTTATTATCTCATTCTTACTTTGGACAAACCGGCAGGCTACCAAATGTAACCTGCCCATATGGCAGAGTCTGGCAAACTTTCTGTGGCGTACCCAATATGCCAAATACCAGTAGCAATGATGGGTCTCATTCTCCTAACCCTGAAAGAGCTTTGACTATGGCACTTTTTTAAAAAATTCTCTGGGCTAGGACGAAGGAGACGTTACTGGGGCCTGCTCGAGGCTATCGACGAACAACAGGATGGTCGTGATCGTGAATCCAAAGGGAACTTTTCACAAAGCCAAGCAGCTTCTCTGGGCCTTTGCCCCACCGTCTCCCTTCTCTTCGTTATCCCTCTCCACAGCCCATGCCATGAAGCACTGGGACATGTGCTCTTCCTCTGCCACTGACACCGGGAGACAAGCTCCGTGACTCAGCCCCACGGAGCTCCTGAGCAGCTCGTCGGTTCACCCAGCCACACTTTTGTACCTTCCTCTTCTACTCGGGCCTCTGCCCACCCCACCCCGGAACTGCTCTTGCTCACGTCAGCATACACTGTGGGCTGCCAATGCCGATGGACGCTCCAGTCTCAGTCTCCTGGGCTTTTCCAGGACACGGAGTGTGGCCAACACCTTAGGCACGGCCACTGCGCTTGGCTTTGGCTCAAACGTCAATGGCTGCTCCTGCCCCTCAGCCTTGCCTCGTCCACTCCTGACTTCCCACAGTCCCGGTGGGTTCACAGGACACTCCCAGGACAGGGTCCCATCTATGACTCTTGCTGATGGCACTGAGAACCCTCTATTGGTATGATGCCCACAGGGATCCCTTTCAGTCCAGAACTTCCTAGTCAGCCCAGAATCCCAACTTCACACTGCCCACTGAAACTTCCAGAACCTCACATATCAGGGCCGAGTTTAGTCTCCTCATACCCCAAAATCTCCCACCACTCCCCAGGATCCCACCTCAGCACCATCTTCCTCCATTCAGTTGCTCAAGACAAAACTCAGAATCACAATAAGGATTGGAAACCATAAATGATAATTTACCCTTAATGTTGTTCAACAGTTATCTTTCCTAGTAAAGTAAAAGTAAAGGCCCTCCCATTGATCATCGATTTGCTCGAGCGGGCCCAGTAACGTCTCCACTGGAGACTTTGTTGTTACTGGGTCTGGCATATCGAATACGTCATGGGGAGCTTGCCAGGCTCTGCCGTGCAGGCGAGATAATCTCGGTAGCTTGCCAGGCTCTCCAAGAGGGGCGGAGGAATCTAACTCCGGTTGGCCATGTTGGCTGCATGCAAGGCAAACATCCTACCCGCTGTGCTATCGCTCCAGCTGGAGCAATAGCACAGCGGTAGGGCATTCGCCTTACATAGTTGCCAACATGGCCGACCGGAGTTCGATTCCTCCGCCCCTCTCAGAGAGCCCGGCAAGCTACCGAGAGTCGATATGCCAAACACAGTAACAACAAAGTCTCCAATGGAGACGTTACTGGGCCCGCTCGAGCAAATCTTTCCTATAATAATCATATTTACAAATACCATCATTATTTTTTTAATTAGCCAAAACACTTAAATAGAAAACAGAGAAATATGTGCTTAAGGGCCATAAAGATAATACAATGGGTAGCGCATTTTCCTCACACATAGTCAATCTGGGTTTGATCTCTGGCATCCCATATGGTTCCCCAAGCATCACTAGGAGTAATTCTTGATTACAGAGCCAGGAGTACCAAGAGTAACCCCAGAGCATTGCTGGGTGTGGCTTGAAAACAAGAAAGAAAGAAAGAAAGAAAGAAAGAAAGAGAAAGAAAGAGAGAGAGAAAGTAAAAAAAGGATAGAAGGATAGAAGGAAAGGAAAGGAAAGGAAAGGAAAGGAAAGGAAAGGAAAGGGAAGAAAGAAAGAAAGAAAGAAAGAAAGAAAGAAAGAAAGAAAGAAAGAGCAAGCTGTGCTTAGCCATTACTACAACAGTCAGTACATGGAAGTAACCCAAATGTCTGACAATAGATGAATGGATAAAGAAGTAGAATATGGGACTGGAGCGATAGTACAGCGGGCAGGCCATTTGCCTTACTCGCGGCTGAGCCAGGTTTGATTCCTGGTTTCCCATATGATCCCCCAAGCACCATCAGGAGTAATTCCTGATGCAGAGCCAGGAGTAACCCATGTGCATCACCATGTGTGACTCAAAAGGCAAAAAAAAAAAATAAAAATTTAAGTAGTATAGCTGGTGGGAAGGCCGACTGGTCCAACCCTTTTGGAAAACAGTATGAACGATTCTCCAAAAATTAGAATTTGATCTCCCATTTGACCCAGCAATACCACTCCTGGGAATATATCCCAGAGAGGCAAAAAAAAGTATAGTCGAAGTGACATCTGCACTTGTTTGTTCATGGCAGCACTCTTTACAATAGCCAGAATCTGGAAGAAACCTGAATGCCCAAGAACAGATGACTGGTTAAAGAAACTTTGGTACATTTACACAATGGAGTACTATGTAGCTGTTAGAAAAGATGAAGTCATGAAATTTACATACAAGTGGTACTACATGGAAAGTATCATGTTAAGCGAAATGAGTCAGAAAGAATGGGATAGACACAGAAAGATTGCATTCATCTGGGGAACATAAAGTAACAAAATGGGAGACTAATACCCAGGAGTGGCCAAGATTAGTACCAGGAATTTTGCTCCATGACTTGGAGGCCAGCCACACGTGCTAGGGGAAAAGGAAGCTCAGATAGAGAAGGGAGCACCAAATAAAGGGTGTTGGGAGGATTCTCACAGGATGCTGAAAGTAGACTATAGACCAAACATGATTGCCACTCAATACCTCTCTTGCAAACTACAGGACCCAAAAGGAGAGAGAGAGAACAAAAGGGAATGCCTTGCCACAGAGGTGGGGTGGGATGGTGGGAGGGATGCTGGGACCCGTGGTGGTGGAGGATGGGCACTGGTGGAGGGATGAGTACTTGATCATTGTATAACTGAAACCCAAGCACAAAAATTTGGAAGTCTATAACTGTACCTCATGGTGTTTCACTAATAAAAAAAAATAAAATAAAAATTTAAAAAAATTAGTATATATGCGCAATGGAATAGTATATAGCCATGAGAAAAACCAAGTCATATAGTTCATGACAACTTAAGTGGCACTGGAGAGTTTCGGGCTAATGAAATAAGCCAGCGGCAGAAAGACAGATACAGGATGATGTCACTTGAGAAACAAATCAAAGGTCCAAACCATATCAATTAATAATAACCCCTGAATGCTGGATCACAGACCCAGCTTCAGGGGAAGGCGGCCAGGGCAACGCATAGGCTGAGTAGAAGTAACACAGGAACCAGGAGGAGGGTCTGGAGCACAGGGGTTTGCCAAGGGAAGTAACAGTGCACCCCAAAACCAGAACAGGTAATGGAGGGCTGGAAAGGAGGGAAGGAGTGCTGGACCAGGAGTAGGGGTGGAAGGTCCTGAGCACTTCCACGATAGTGATGTTGTTTCTGGGCCACACCCAGCCACGACCAAGGTAGAACTCGGGGGACCAAATGTGGAGCCCGTGATCCTGGGTCAGCTGTGTGAAAGGCCCCTCTCCTGCCCACAACTTTGTATATCAATTCCATAACCTTGAACACGATTATAACCCTGTCCCCTAAAGTGCACTGTAGCACTGTCCTCCCGTTGTTCATTGATTTGCTCAAGCGGGCACCAGTAACTTCTCCATTGTGAGACTTGTTGTTACAGTTTTGGGCATATCAAATACGCCACGGGGAGCCTGCCAAGCTCTGCCGTGTGGGCGGGATACTCTTGGTAGCTTGCCAGGCTCTCGGAGAAAGACAGAGGAATCAAATCTGGGTCAGCCACATGCAAGGCAAACGCCCCGCCCACTGTGCTATTGGGCTTGACCTAAACAGTTCCCTAAACTATAATTTTAAATTTTTTCAAAGATTTGTTTAAACATTATGCTTTGGGGCTGGAGCACACAGCAGGAGGGCATTTGCCTTGTATGTAGCCAACCAGGTTTTGATCCCCAGGATCCCATATGGTCACCCTAGCACCACCAGGAGTGATTCCTGAGAGCAGAGCCTGAGCATCACTGGATGTGACCCCAAAAGCCAAAACCAAACAAACAAAAAAAATAATGCTTTATGGGTTCTATCATTGACATTAATTTCCATGTCCAGATTTTCCTAAACAAAAGTACAGAAACTTGATAATAAATTGCATATTACCGGAAGTGCCTGGGGTCAATGAAGACATCACAGAATTGGTTTCTACCTAAAAAAAAAAAAAAAAATCATTTCATCCAATGTTTTCCCCGGTGTCCATCCTTGCTTCTCAGTGTATGCGGAAGGGATGAGTTTCCTGAGATGTCCGCCTATAATCATCATGGTTTTCTCCCATGTGGGCCTGTAAGTTAGGAGGTCAACCTGCTACTGATCTCTACCTGCCCCGTAACTGCATTCCATTGACCAAAACAAGGAGCGTGTAGAAAATCAACTTGCCTGTAACATTCGTAGCACCGTTATTTGTTTGTGGTAAAAGTCACATAAAGTTGAAAACATGAAAAATATCTAAAATTGTGGAGAAGCAAGAGTTTTACACTGTTAAGCACTGTCCTCCACTAGCTAATCTTTTGGCCCAGAGTGGCTCATGCTTTTCCACTGTGTTTCTACATACATTTGCAAACCTGCCACACAGACCTTCCTGGAGCACCTATGACAAGTTAAAGATTTGCCCACCTGGTCATCAAGGCTTCATAAGCATGGGGGGGGGGGGGGGGCGGCGGGGAATCTGGGATTCGCTGCAGCCCTGCCTCATCCGGCTGTTTTTTTTTTAATGTAGGAGTACTGCTATTTATTCAGCCACTGATTAGCTGATTGAATTGTTTATGAACTCCACTTTACTTTTTTTTATTTTTTATAATTTTATTTATTGAATCACCGTGAGAGCAGTTACAAAGCTTTTGGGTCTAAGTCTCGGTCATATGAAACACCCGTACCTTCACCAGTGCCCATTCTCCACCCCCAACAAACCCAGTATATCCCCATCCTACACCCTTCCCCCACCTGTGAGGCAGATGATTTCCACATTACTCTCTCTCTACTTTGATCACATTCAATATTTTGACACCAGACCCACCATTATTATTTGAGATTTTACCCCAACACTCAGATCTGCTGAAAAGGCAACAGTAGACAATTTGTTTTCTATTGCTGGTTATGAATAACATATGATGTCACGTGGTTGCAGAAGTGGTCGCATGATTTTGAATTTCCGAAATTTTAACACTTAAATCTGGAGGGATTTCTGCCAAAACCTGCTGGGTTCCGAGATTTGCTCCTGAGTCTCTAGGATCATGGCCATTAAGCAGTTGACCAGGAGCCAGAAAGGCCATTTATGGGCGATGACTTGGGGTCTTGTTGGGGTGGGGAGGACAGCCAGCAGGTCAGTCTGTACCTGTGAGGTGAGTGCATCAGCAGGCTGATGGCGCCTTCAGACTTCCAGATACCCCCAAATTGCTGTTGTGCCTTTGGCCAGACCCCAAAAATTTGGGGCAAAGTTTACCAAGAAAGTAAATGGCTGCTTTTCTCGGGCAAAGAGAAACTATTTAAAGAACAGCGCTGGGTCTCTGCCACGCCCCTCTCCACAGGAGGGACCGAGTGCAACCATAAGGGAAGGCACTGTGCATGCTCACACCGTCCTCCGTGGCGTGGGATCTGAAGTCGCCTTCTGCCCTGAATCTGCACCTTGTGAATTTTCTTTAAGTGTTGTTTTGGGGTTCGATATGCCAAACACAGTAACAACAAGTCTCACAATGGAGACGTTACTGGGCACGCTCGAGCAAATCAATGAACAACTGGAGGACAGTGACAGTTGTTTGGAGGCACACCAAAACAACTGGAAGTGGTGCTCAGGGCTTATTCCGGGCTCTGCACTCAGGGATCACTCCAGTGATGCCTGGGGGACCATATGGGGATTGAACCCAGATCAGCCGTGTTGTGCAAGGCAAGTGCCCTGCCTGCTGTACTATCACTCCCCCTGAATTTATTTTTCTTGCTTTTCCTTTTTTTCTCTTTTATTATTATTATTTTGCTTTTTGGGTCACACCTGGCGATGCACAGGGGTTACTCCTAGCTCTGCACTCAGGAGTTACTCCTGGCGGTGCTCAAGGGACCATATAGGATGCTGGGAATCAAACCCGGGTTGGCTGCATGCAAGGCAAACGCCCTACCCGCTGTGCTATTTCTCCAGCCCCAATTATTTTTATTATTATTTTTTATGTTTGGGGTCACACCTGGCGAAACTCAGGGCTTCTTCCTGGCTCTGCGTTCAGGAATTACTCCTGATGATGCTCAGAGGACCATCTGGGATGCCGGAAATCCAACCCAGGTCAGCCTCGTGCAAGGCATGTGCTCTCCCCACTGTACTATCACTGTCCCCACCACCAAATTTTCTTATTTGGTGGCATCACTAGGACAATCTCAGTCTAGCTGTCAGTCCCTTTTGTTCCCATCACTACAGCCCACTGTCACCATGGCCTGACTCTGCCACCACGAGGGCCCCCAGGACATCCTATCTAGCAGCACCACTAAGGGACAAGCCACCCAGACTCCTACTCCAGTGCCCACTAAATCAGGAGCGCCTCTTGTTCAGCCTCTAGTTTAGTTTTTATCACAGCATGTTCTAACACTCCAGGCAACAGAACTGCTTCGAAAAAGGATGTAGGTGGGAGATGGAGTACAAACCTAGGTACTCTGCCATGCACAAGGCTGACCCAGGCTCAGTTCCCAGCCCTGCATCATCCCCTCAGCACTGTCGGGAACACTTCAGAGCACAGAGCCAGGAGTAGGCCCTGAGTACTGCTGGATGGAGTCCCTAAAGCAAAATACCCCAAACAAAACCAAAAAACTGCTACATCCCTAAATTTCAACCAGCAATCTAGAAACTTCCCAGGGCGCACTTAGTCATGCGCACTGCTCCATCAACAACTCCTGTCCTTCAGTTCCGGAAGACAGAGGAAATCAAAACAATCAAGCGGATCCAAGAGGGGGAAAACACAGATCCCTTTCCAGCTGAATCCACGTTAAAATAAAGTGCTTCTAAGTCTTGAGTCTCTTTCATCGTGGCCTGTTTTGGAATTTCAGCTGAACTCCATAATCAGTGTCTCGGTAACTAAATCTTCCTGGACAAGTTGGAAGCACTTTGAAACCAACCGGCGCTCTGTGCATCACCAAATGCTAAAGCCGTGATGCATTTAAGCGTAATGACCACGGGGGTGGGGGGGGGGGGGCATGGAACACTTGGCTTCACGGGGCTTGCAATCTGACACAAATAGAGCCACAGCTGGGCCAAAGTGATTGCCAAGCTGCTGGCCTAATGAGGGCACAAGAGGCCTTTGCAGGCAGAGCTGGCTCTGCTAGACAGCTGCCTGGAATTTTTTAAACCTGGACAAGCCCTTGGCTTTGATTAACTCTGTTCAGCTGCTCAAAGAGAGTTGGAGGTAACGGGAAGTGGTGGGGGAGGGGGTTCCACAAAGAGAGGGAGGAGGAAGCAATGAATAAAATATTTCAGGATTTTTTGTTGTTGTTGTTTCAGGGTTGTTTGCCCTTGGTGGGGGGCATGTGCTCAGGAGCTCCAGTTTAGGAATCACTCCTGGCATTGCTTAGGGGGAACCATGAGGTTCCTGGGATCAAATCCTGGCCTCCCACTTGCAAGAAAATATGATGTTAAAGAGAAAAGAAAGATACTTAAATGTTACTTCCTCTGTTTAGTGAATTTCTATTACCAACAGCTCCCTTACTGATTTTCCTCTTGAAAGCTCTTTAACATCTTATATTTCTTATAATTCTTAACAACCCAATGATAAGTTTCAAGGGTTCTAGTAAGACAGATTTTGAATTCTTCCCTGAGATTCTTTAGGAGAACAACCCCAATTTCTCACAGGATTCTTTAGGAGAACAACTCCAATTTCTCACAGGACACATCTCTGAAATTGATGCTAAAGCAGCAATTTACTTTTTTTTTTTTTTTTTTTTGCTTTTTGGGTCACACTCAGCGATGCTCAGAGGTTACTCCTGGCTCTTGCACTCAGGAATTACTCCTGGCAGTGCGCTGGGGACCATATGGGGCGCTGGGAATCGAACCCAGGTCGACCATGTTGGCTGCGTGTAAGGAAAATGCCCTACCCGCTGTGCTATCACTCCAGCAATTGACTTTAATAAGTGCTTTAGAGGATCCATTCACTCTCTGACCATTGGCCCCATCCCCATGTAACACAAAGTCATACCTGGGAGGGTTTATACCCAAACAGCATTACAACAGCAACCTTAAAGTCCTCTCTGCTTAGATAGCCTTTGTTATCTTCATCACATGCTTTAAATACCTAGAGGACATGAAATAACCTTGTTAATAAGATATTGTTGGTGTTAGTATTTTTATTACTAGTCCACATTAAATGTAGCCATCCTAAATCTAAAACTCAACCCAGCAGTCGGGGTCAGAAATGGAGTTTTATTATCCTAATTTTATTTATTTAATGGTAGAACTTATTTAATGCCAGATAGGATGAGAGTTATATACCACAAATTGTCATGCCAGCCATGGAAAACGAAATCACTAAAGACAAAAGGGAACTGATAATGTATTGAGAATTCAGCAACTTTGGACTTGACTTCTGTAGAGGTAAACAAGACAGAAAATGTGTTTCAGTAACCATTTTTTTAAAACTACAGAACCGATAATTTTGTATATGGTCTACTGTTACACCGTGTCCATCTGGTGTTGTACCTGGATCCCTTCCACCATTATTTTAATTCTCAAGAAATATTATTGATAAGCATCTCAAAAGTTAACCCCAAAGAGTGAAAAACGACTTAACTGCTTGGCTAGTAACTCCTTAAAACTACCGTCATACATTCAATTCTAAGTGAGTTCAAGGGGCTGGTATTTTGTTTTGCTCTTAGGTTCAATTATCTACCCCCCCCACACACACACACAGTTACAAAGTTGCTCATGATTGGATTTCAGGCATACAATATTCCCTCACCCATCCCTTCACTAGTATATTTCCCACCAATGTTCCCAATTTCAACACACACACACACACACACACACACACAATCGCCACGACCCAGCCTGATTTTGAAAAGCGGGAAAAAGCAGAGTGGAAGTTATTCATAAACCGTGCAAGGGTGGGAAAAAGAGGGGGAGCGTGGAAGTAACCAGAACACTGCACGGGGAGTCAGAAGCTTTGCAGCCCTGGGCTTAAGTCATGTTACAAGACACACCAGCGGGACAGTCGGGTCCCTGTCTGGGTAACCCGGGACCTGAACTCAGAGGCGGGGAGGGGACGCGAGGCCGCAGACCAAGCCAGAGTTCAAGGTGACACATACTTGCACCCACTTCTTGTGTTCTGTGGGGCTGGCTTCCCGGGTCCGCGGTCGGGCCCCGGACTCAGAGGGAAACATCGCCCTTAAGCCCACTGAGCTCTCCGCCCGCGCGCAAGACAGCGGGGTGGGAAGCCGCCCGGCTCCCCGCACGCTCAGACTCCGAGGGCTGTGATTGGACGTGCAAGCCCAACGTCGCCTCCTATTGGTCAGCCTGCGAGGCGCGGTCGACGGTCCTATCATTCTATTGGCTAGCGGTTTTGTTTAATAACGTTTCCTTGGAACAGCCAATGGCGAAGCGACTCCCAGGACCCACCCACCCACCCCCACGCTTGGCCACGCCCCATTTTATTTTCTTAACTCCTTGCGCGCGGTGGGGAATTTCCTGCTTGTCTAGGTACCCTTTTTTAATGGGTCCTGCATGTTTTTGTCTTCTTTTGTTTTTATTTTGTTTCTCTCCCTTCCTTTGCAAGTTTTGGTGCGATCCAAGTCCTGGATTCATGTGCAGATTAAGTCTGTTGGGACCCAGCTTTCCAGAATAACTACTTTCCGATTTAGTCTGACAATAAACCAGTTTGTTTCAAGAACCCTCTTCTGATCAATCAGTAAAATGTAAATGGAAACATCCATCTCCTTGTTTCAACGCAGAAACAGACCTTCGAGGTTCTAGGCTGAGGATGATGGTGATCTAAGTGGTGATGATCTAAGTTTACCTTTTGATCTGTTTTCCCCCAACTCCCGTTATGATAATTGATTCTTCTCTCTACCTTTAAAAGAAACCCCATAGTCCCACCAGGGCAGCCGCGGTTTGGAGGCATTCCGGTGTAGAGGTTTTTATGTTAATTTAACAAAGAAACAGCAGCGAGGTAGCACTTTTTCTCTCCCCCTTAGAAGGAGCTGAGCTGGAAGCGGCCAGATAGACAGCTCTCTTCTCCCTCGTCTTGCTGCGGAGTCCGCGCGGGGCGGCTTTAGGACCCAGCGGCGGGCGCCCCGGAAAAGGAAGGACAGCACCGACGGCGCGGGCCGCGGGGTGGGCGGAGTCGAGCTGCGCGCAGGCGCGGTATGGGCGGGCTCCGAGGTAGTGGCGGGCTCCCCGGGGGTGGTGTAGGGCGCTGGACGTCCCGGACGCGCAGGTGCTGGGCAATCCCGGGAACCGCGGCGGCCGCGGGTAGCCGGCGCTTTCCCGGGCCCCCGTCAAGTCGTGAGTACCGAGACCCGGGGAGCCGGGGACGGAGCCCGGGAGTCGCGGAGCATCTTGCAGAAATGCCCGCGAAGGGCTTGTGGGCGTGAGGGCCCCCCACCACGCGTGCACGGAGGGTGGGCTCGGCCGCCCCTGCGTGCAGCCTGCTGGGTGGGCGTCGTACTGAGCATTGCACTTGCGAACTTGGGAGTGAGTTTGCACCGGGCGTGGTGATCCCTCGCCCGGAGTCAGGGCACCGACAAGTCAGCAGCTGCAGGTGCATTCCCAACCCCCCCTCCCGCTCCGCCCCCCCCCCCCCCCCGTGTCCCTGCATCCTGCCCTCCCGTTTTCACCCCCTGCAGTCATTGCCTCTTTTGCAAACCTCAGCTCCCTGCTTAACATTCTAAATGAATTTGCACGCTTATCTAAGAACTGCCTTTTTAAAAGGATGCTTTGTTTTGCTTTTGTAAATCTAATGGAGTCATCAGCTGCGGTGGGTGTCAGGTGTCTCAGTAGCACCTTACACCCCCTTTCTCTGGGAACCACACTTGGGGGGGGGCGCTGAGTTTGGCAGCAGCTTGGCCCGTTCCTGAGGGTCTGTTGATTTGCCTTCAGATGCCAGAACCTCCACTTTGACCCAGTGGAATTGCAGGGCTCAGAAGCAACCCTTGTGCACTGCGTAAGTCTCGTGTTAGCAGAACGTGGAGTTGCACGGACTCCAGCTTTAAACAATCCAAGGAAAACCCTGGGGTTCTAAACTTGTCCCACCGGGCTTACCGACAGGTGCTGAGAAAGGGGAACCCTGGTGGCCTGGTGGGGTGAGAAATCCAGCCCTGATACTGGTCATCAGACCTGGTTGTCAAGAGGGGTGGTGGTGGGTGCGGTGTGGAATCCTGGGTGGTCTTGGCTTTCCCAGCAGTTAAGTCTGAGGATTAGGGGTCCTGATTTGCATAAAATTAAAGTGGCTGGTGGGATGGAGAGATAGCACAGCGGGTAGGGCGCTTGCCTTGCATGAAGCTGATCCAGGTTCTATTCCCAGCATCCCATATGGTCCCCTGAGCACCGCCAGGAGTAACTCCTGAGTGTAGAGCCAGGAGTAACCCCTGTGCATCGCCGGGTGTGACCCAAAAAGCAAAAAAAAAAAAAAAGTAAAGCGGCTGGGAACCTGCTGAACTTCAGCCCCCAGCCTTGTTTGGGCGGTGGTCTGTTCCAAGGGGTCCTTGCCTTGCTTCCTTCTGATTTGTCTTCAGTAAGTAAACAACTCTCACTTCTACTTGGGGGGCCACCCTGGTGGGGGTCAGAGGTTAGGCCTGCCTCTGTGGTCAGGAATGACCTCTGGCTGTGCCAGGGAGAGGGTTGGGACTGTACACGGTATCACGGAACCAGGCCTGGGGCCTGGAGCCGCCCGGGGTTGGCTTCGCACTAGGCAAGTGTCTCGCCTCCTGTTCTCTCTCTCCTCGAATGATTGAGCATGGGCAGCTCCGGAGCTGACAGTATTTCTCATCTACCCCCAGTCACCTCGCGTGGTTCTAGAAATGTAGAGAAGGATCAAACGGGAAACTTGAGAAATTTGCAGTTGGGGTTCTTCAGCTTTTGAATTTCGTTTAATTTCTATTCATTCACCTTAGGTGGGTGGTCGCAGCCTGGAAGTCTCAGCCTGTAGCTGCTTTTTCTCAGCTGAGAACTCTGAGCCCCTTTGCTTTGGCATAGGGCTAAGTGGCCAGTGGCCCTGCTGTGCCCTGATGGATTATCACCCAGCACCCCTTTCCTGAGACTCTTCCAGAATCTTCTGGTGCAGGAGCTCAGCTTTCAGATCTGCTTCCCCTGGAGAGTGTGTGAGTATGTGTGTGTGTGTGGGGGGGGGGGGGGGGGGGGCTTTTGTTCTCAAATTACTGCTTTTTTTTTTTTTCTTTAAGTCATCAAACTTGCTTATGGAATATTTCTTTTCTTGAAATGTGAGTCACAGCTCACATTTCTGCCCTGCTGCCCCCGGAAGGGTTTTTTTTGTTTTGTTTTTTTGTTTTTGTTTTTGTTTTTTTTAGTGAAACACCACTAAGGGCTATTTTTGCTTGGTGGGGATGACTTTTTGTTTTGGTTTTTGAAGAAAATTTAAAAATCTGAGCTGCTTAGGAAGGTATCTTTTAAAGGCAAGCTCTTTTGGGGCTGGAGAGAGAGCGCAGTGGGTAGGGCCAACCCAGGTTTGATTCCCAGCATCCCATATGGTCCCCTGAGCACTTCCAGGAGTAATTCCTGAGTGCAGAGCCAGGAGGAACCCCTTTGTATCGCAGGTTGTGACCCAAAAAGAAAAAAATAAAGACAAGTTCTTTTGTTGTTGGTTTTTGTCTTTTTGGGTCACACCGGGGAATGCTGGGGTGAGGGGGGAGGTATTCCTGGCTCTACCCTCAGGAGTTACTCCTGGCTGGGGGAATTACTCCTGTACTGGGGTTGTGGGGAGGGTGCTTGGGGGAGATGGGAGGTGGATGATGGATGCTGAGATGGAACCTGGGTCGGCCTCCATCTGTCCTGTCGCTTGGGGCCCCAGGCAAGCTCTTCCTTGAGGAAACCCAGCCTCTGTCCTCTGCAGTTCCAAATCCCAATACATTGTGTGACCCCGTAAACTGTGGGGCTTGTTCTTTGATTTGTTTTTGCTTGGGGGCCACCACTGGCGGTGCTTCCTCTGTGTGATTCCTGTTCAGCTGTGTACTCGGGGATCACTCTCAGGGACTCCTGGCTTTCAGGGGCTACTCCCCACAGTATCTCCTCCTGGGGTTCCCCCGTGCTGCTAAGATCCTGGTTTCTTTTTTTTAATTTCACTAAGAAATACAGTGCCGGGGCTGGAGCGATAGCACAGCAGGTAGGGCGTTTGCCTTGCACGCAGCCGACCTGGGTTCAATTCCCAGCATCCCATATGGTCCCCTGAGCACCACCAGGAGTAATTTCTGCGTGCGAAGCCAGGAGTAACCCCTGAGCATCGCCGGGTGTGACCCCCCCCCAAAAAAAAATACAGTGCCTTCTCTCTTTTGTTTTGTTTGGGGGCCTCACCTGTGCTCAGCTTGGCCTGCATGGTTGAGGGGACCAGGTAGTGCCCTGCGGGGATGGAGCTGGGGCCTCCTGCTTTTGTCCAGCCTGTGCGTTGCCCATCACACAGCCCCCTCTCTCTGTGATGCTCCCTGTCTCTTGTTATTGACGGGGTTGTGCAGACACTTGATTACGGTGCTCCCACATTTTAGCCGCGGCGCTCCTGGGGGTGACCCCTCAGGTCATAGCGCTCATAGGCTTGGCAGTGGTGCTCACCCATTTGTGCTCTTTTAGCTGTGATACTTGACGCACATGCCTTGCCGGCTGCCCCGCGCAGTCAGCATTGAGACAGAGTGGGGTTGTGGTTCTCACACGCCTCCTCATGGGAAGTTTCCTGCTTTTCCCGGGCAGGGTGCTTACTGACCTTCCTGGTTGCAGTGCTCGTTGGAGGCTGTGTCTCTCTGCGTGGTTCCCACACACCCATGGCAGCAGGGCAACCAGAAACAAGGTTCAGTGCCAGAGGATTGCAGCTGCCAGCATCACACTCAGCGCATGTGTTGCACCAGGGATTCGAACTCTTGACCGTATGCTTGCAAGGCAGGCATCCTAAGCCGCTGCACTAGTCCTCCTGTCTAATTGCCTGTGTGTGTGTGTGTGTGTGTGTGTGTGTGTGTGTTTTGCAAATCATGAACAATTTAGGAGGAAAGATTTTTTACCAACCCTTTGAAGTATTCTCCAGAACATTTTTAGCAGAAGTCCCGGAAGCCCTTTTGAGAAGCTGACGGCCCCAACCAGCTCCATAGACCCTAAAGCTGTGGCCATAAATCAGTGTCCAGTCCACGTGGCCCTAACAGCAGCCTTGTGGGTGGGTCAGGTTTGTGTCCTGACTCCCTCTGCGTATGAACTTGAAACGTGTCATAGGGGGCTGGAGCGATAGCACAGCGAGTAGGGCGTTTGCCTTGCATGCGGCCGACCTGGATTCTATCCCCGGCATCCCATATGGCCACCCAGCACACCCAGGAGTAATTCCTCAGTGCAGAGTAACCCCTGTGCAACGCTGGGTATGACCCAAAAAGCAAAAAAAAAAAGTGTCATAAACTATAGACACACAGAGAGAAGGTGAAGGGAGGTGGTGAGAAGTGATGGAGAGGGTCGATTTTCTCTACCTCAGACCAGCAGCATGTGTGGAGACTCTGTGCTTATCCTTCAGGGTTGCATCAGGCACCGCCCTGGGAATGGGCACCCAGTGGACAGGATGCTGTTGTCTGCCTTGGTGGAACTGACCCACTCAAGGATGTGTCCTGCTCATTCTCCTCGAGAGAGAGACCCATGAGGGGCCTGAGAGATAAGACCGGGCTCGGGGTATGAAACCTGGATGCGGCCGACCTTGGTCCAGTCCCCAACTCCACATCCGCCACCCCCAGCCGTCGCTGGATGTCTCAGAACACGTCCTCCAGCTCTTGCATTGAACCCCCTGCCTGGCCAGGCCTGTCGCCTCCTGGCCCCCACTTGGGAGACACTCTCCCCTGCACACCCCCCACAAAAGACCAAAACGGTTAAAAACAATCTTAACCTGAACACGGGCTCTCAGGGGGCGTTCAGGGCACACTTGGCAGTGCCCAAGGACTCACTCCTGGTTCTGTGCTCGGGAGACCAACACGTGGTTTCCGGGCTCAAGTCGGGGTCTTCCTCCCTGAGCACAGGCTCTCGGCTGGACTCTGCCCTTCGGCTCTAGGTCTTGTAACTCCTCCCTGACACGTTGTTGAGATTCCACGGTCCTGTGAGTACCGGGAGAGTCTCAGCCCGGTGCCCTCCACCTTTGGATCGCCTAGTGCTGTGTCCACGTCTTCCCACTGTGCCACGCGGCTTCCACGCTGTCTCTCCAAGCCCACCGCGATCTCTCGCTGGCCCGTCATGGGGCTGTCCCTGGCCCGATGGCTCCGATTGGGGGGGCGGGGGGGGTGGCACAGAGAGGTACCGAGTTAGAGCTTGCTTGCGTCTCCCACTGTTTCCCACCCCTTTGTCTATTCCAACCGAGTTTCCTTTCTAAGACACTCAAAAGGACCAATTATTTAGGTTATTACCTGGCCCCCTTCCCCTTCATTGGCACCGAAACTACCCCAAGCACTGTCTGGAGAGAGAACTGAGCTGGAAGCAGGGACTGAGCATGCTGGGTGTGGGCCCAACCTCGACACCACCCCTCTCCCCTGCAAAAAAAAAAAAAAAAAAATAGGCAATTTTTTTTATTCCCAATGGTTTGTTCCCACTCCTTCCAGGACCAGATTAGAAGAGTGGGCTAGGAGTCTGCAGGCCTGGAGACCGGCCTCCAGGCTTTGTGTCCCTGCCATCTCTCCCAGGGGGCAAGGGCTGCAGCTCACCTGGGCCCCTGGTTGGGTCCTGGAGGGCACCGTGTAAGCCTGAGAGTGGGGGAAGTCACCCTGTTCCCCTGTTTTCCAGACGCAGCGCCATGTCTCAGGAAAGCAGTTACGGCAGGTGGACGATCTCCAGCAGCGATGAGAGTGATGAAGAGAAGCCCAGCCTGCCCCAGCCCTCACGGTCTGTCCCGCCAGCCACCCCGCCATCTGTCCCCCCACCCAGTGAGGACAGGGCAGGGCGCGAGCCCCTCTACACGTGCTCCGAGGCCCGGAGAGCTGCCCACAGGCGGAAGCTGTCACCCCTGAAATTCGACGGGCCCCAGGCCGCCACGGACGCCTCCCCCGCCAAGAAGCAGAAGCCCAGTGGGGCTCGGGAGGACACGGGCTGGTGTCTGTCCAGCAGCGACGATGATGGCGAGCGGCCTGCAGACCCGCAGCCAGCCGGACCCCGGGCAGCAGACACAGGGGCCAAGGACTCACCTCCCAAGACCAGGACCCCCCAGCCAGCTGGAAGCCACCAGCCCCGGAAGGAGGAGAAAAAAGAGGACGAGTATGAGACCTCAGGGGAAGGCCAGGACATTTGGGACCTGTTGGATAAGGGGAACCCCTTCCGCTTCTACCTCACCAGAGTCGCGGGCATTAAGGCCAAGTACAACTCCGCGGCCCTGCACATCAAAGGTGAGTGGAGGCAGGGAGGGGGGGGGGGAGGGGCGGTCCAGGAGGGGTCCTGCAGGCGGGGTCCAAAGGAGTGGCCCTCGAAGGGTAGCTGGGCAGCTGGGTCACCTCACCTTTGGTTGGGGGTTCACGTGATGGGACACACTTCAGTGAAACTCAACCCAGACTCGGAGCCCCACGCCAGTGTGCCCTGCAGAAGGGCTGGTGCATGCAGGACCTCGGCCACCCCTGGGGGTGTCCCTCCGACCAGGCTCCGGAACCAGGGTCTCCATCCATTGTGACAGGTCTTGCTGGCGTTTGGATGCCCAGTCGGGTTTAAGAATTACTGCTTCAAAAGTTCTTGCTTTGGATCCTTGTCTGGGGTTGCAGAAGGAGGAGCGCCATGGCCCGGGAGACATTTCAGCTGGGGTTGACGCCTGGCCTGTGGGGCTCGCCAGGGGCCCCCTGCCACCCGTGATCATAGGGCTCGTCCTAGGGATTGATTTTTCTTCCAGGCTCCCAAGAACAGCTCTCAGGTGGTAATGGCACATGGAGACGCCTTTGATTTTTTTTTTTTCTTTTTGGGTCATACCCAGCGATGCACAGGGGTTACTCCTGGCTCATGCACTCAGGACTTACTCCTGCCAGGTGGTAGGGGACCGTATGGGATGCTGGGAACCAAACCTGGGGGTTGGCCGCGTGCAAGGCAAACGCCCTCCCCACTGTGCTACTGCTCCAGCCCCCCAGAAGGGCCTTTGAACCCCGGATTTACAACTGTGTGATGGTGTGGAAAGTCCACGGAGAATTGGTGGCTGGGGGGACCTCCCCACACCGCACACCCTAGCCTTAAAAAGTCTGACTTAGCAGAGGAGTGACTGGATCCCAAAGTTCCAGGTGATCTCGCTCGCTCTCTTCTCTCTCTGTCTCTCTCTCACGCCCATCTTTCTCACCTCTCCCTCTCACTCACTCTTTGTCTCTCTGCTAAGCAAGGAGTCCGGAGGTGGGGGGGAGTCAGGGTGGCCCCCCAGTCTGTGCCCACAGCAGAGCAGCCACGTCACCATGAGCTTTAGTTTTCTGTACCCCACGGCAGTGGACGGTCATTCACTGGCCAACATTGCGTCGCATCCAGCCCATTGGTTCACCTTTCTTCTGCGGGCTTGTGGCTCTAGGGACGTCCCTACCCGGCCGCTGAACTCTGGTCCTTCGGGGCGTCGGCTGTGTGCTTCTTTACTCTAGCGATGGGCGCCAGGAATGGGACCGTGCAGGATCGGACACGCGCGACCACACGGAGGAAGGACTGGCTCTCGCCTCCCTGCTGTCCAGACACATCAGGGTCTCCTTGAATCATCGCCCGGAGGGGCTTCGGGCTGTCTGCCCTGGGCTCCAGGGTAGTGGACCTGCCCAGTGCCACAGAGCGGGAGGCTGTGAGGGGGGCTCACCTGGGGCACAGAGAGGGGACATCTGACAGCTGAGATGGAGTAAGAGGAGCTGGCGGGACAGGATGGAGGCGCCATCGAGGCACAGGCCTCCATTCCTCTCAGCTACCTCCCTCCCTGCTCAGATGGGTACCCACAGTACAGGGCCTTCAGCCATTTTCAGTCTTGAGGGGTCTGCGTGTTTTTGTTTTGGGACCTCCCAATGTAAAATAAGATTGGTTTGTCCTTTCTGCCTTGCCACAGGGAGCTTAGGTGTATTGGGTTACTCCCATCAGAGTGCTCCCATTCCGAGGTGTTTATTTGTAACCTCTCTCTTTGTGCTCTGCTCCCGCAACTGTCAACCACCTTTATCACCTAATCAGACTCTGCTGACTTGTAAATATTGCTTTTCTCTTCTCCCTAAGTCTTTTGCATACTTAATTCAGAGCAATGTCCTTTTGGTACAGACACAGGAAGACAGTTAATGCTATGCTTTTGTAACTTGGGAGCCAATTGACTTCGAATATTCACTCCTGGGCAGCTGTTTTCTGACCTGAGCCTCAGTTGCCCTTCCCTCCTACCACCCCAAAAGCAGGGTCCCAACGAGGGACTGGATGGACCCAGGGCAAGCCACAATACTTAACTATAAGTTACAAGCGAGCGTGGTCACAGACAAATTCTGTCATGATCCAAAAAGTAACGACTAGATTAGGACCCTGCTAGGGTTAGGAGAGATTAATCTGGCCTGAGCACTGTAGGCTGGGATCTGTAGGAGATGTCCCCAGAAGAGCCACCCTGTTTACTTACTGTGTCCCTACAAAATAACTAGTAGAATTAAGATGTTAATTCAGATGTTAATTGTTATTGTTAGTGTTAATTTTTTGGGGGGGGGGGACTAAAGGGAAAAACAAAACCCTAGGTGGTATTTCACCCTTAAGCCAGAATCTCCTGGCTTCAGGCGACCAGGAAGTGCTTTGATATGTTGATTGTGCTACCCCAATGCTGGGAAGTTGAGACTAGAGAGAGACCAAGGCTGAGGGACAGGCCCCTCCTTAACATCTGAGGGACAGACCCCACCTTGGCGCCTGAAGGTGATGTGTGTGTTGCGCATAGGCCAACAGGGGTGTCCCCTGAGGGACCCACACTGAGGGCGAGCTCTCACCCACTGAAGGCACATGGAGTGGGCAAAGGGGCCCTGAGAGATGTCCAGGAATGGGACCCACAGGGTCACCCAGAGCAAGTGTGCCCAGAAACAGCCACTATTTGATGGCGAGTCCTGGACAGGGACTTTGAGCACTTAAAGGAAAGAACACAGAAGAGATCGTGCCGGGGAGATGGCTCAGTGGTCACGGGCACGCGTTTAGACCCTCGAAGCACCCAGGCTAATCCTGGGGGCGCCAAAGGGCAAGGCCTGAGCAGCAGCTCCTCTGGGCCTTGCCTGGGGTAGCCCCCTGGTCCCCGAGCACTGACACACTCACACAAGATCAGAGAAGACACACCTTGTTCCTGTCCCAATTCGCAGTTCCAAGATTGACCTAATGCCGAAGAAGTAGGTTGTAATGTTCCGTCGTCACCTTCTGTGAAAGAAAGTGTGATGTGTGTAGTGAAATATTCCAGGGACCCGTACAGAACGTTAAGATCTGGTTGGGGCCAGAGAGATGGTGCAGGGGTTAGGCCGCTTGGCTTGCACATGGGGGCTTGCACCCCCAGCACCGCCTAAGGTCCCTGAGCACTGCCAGGTAAGGCCCCCAAACAAAAAACAAAACTTCATGGACGAAAATGTTTTTGCCTTCTCAGATATTTTGTCTCCTCTATTTGGGACCCTCGTGTCTTCAGCCCAGGTGAGTCCATAGTTGGTTTTCTCCGGGGAGAAAGGGGATAAGTACATCCCATAAGGAAATTCGGGACAGGCTTGGGGGGGACACTCTCACCAGGCTGGAGTCCTCACGCGAGTAAGTCACCTCTCCTCACCGAGCCGGACGCCTCATCATCACAAATCTCACGAGTGCTCCAGGCTCTCCCCTGGGATGAACAAAGGGGTCCCGGCATCCCCACAGAAAGAACAGCTTGGTGGCTGGAGCGATAGCACAGCGGGTTGGGCGTTTGCCTTGCATGCGGCCAACCCGGGTTCGATTCCCAGCATCCCATATGGTCCCCCGAGCACCGCCAGGAGTAATTCCTGAGTGCATGAGCCAGGAGCAACCCCTGTGCATCGCCGGGTGTGACCCAAAAAGAAAAAAAAGAAAAAAAGAAAGAACAGCTTCCCTGGGACTGTTCCTTTGACTGGTGCCCAGCTGGGGGCTTTGCAGGTGCCTCTGAGCCAGTGTCTGTCCCTGCGTCCAGGAAAAGTGTCAGGGGTTACCCAGGTGGGGGCCAGTACCCCACAGGTAAGCCCCATACCAGCCGCCTGGCTACAACCAGTCATTGCCAAAACCAAGCCTTGTGCACGGTCAGCCCCGCCGTTGGGCGCTGTTGGAAATGTGACTTCGGGCTGCCCAGGGTGTCCCCAAGCTGCTCTCTCCCCTGCTCCCAGCCCCCTCCAGCTGTCCCCTTGGGCACGGAGCTTCAGTTTGTGACTGCACGTTGTGGCAGGCCCATCTGGTTTGTGATCTGGCCCAGCCGGGTGTTTGACTGATACAGGGGTGTAGCGACAGGCTGAGGGTCTATCTCCCGTACGGCCAGGCGCCTGACTCAGTTTCTTTCCTCGCCCGTCTAGTTCAACTACTGCTTCGACGTGGACTGGCTCGTCCGGCAGTACCCCCCTGAGTTCCGGTGAGTGCCACGGGATGGGGGTGTCTGCCGCTGTTCGGGCACTAAAGGATCCCTGAGCGTCACTTATTCCCCGTCCCCCCCCCCCGCCACCACGATAAACCCCCTCCCACAAGAAGCGCCCTGCCCAGGGACCACTGTCCAACGCGCTGGACTGAGGAGTTACGTGGAGAAAGATGGGGACTTTCCCCCTCTCCCTCGTCTCGTGGCTTCTCGGACAGATTTTTGCTCTGTCCAGAAGTAGAGAAGGGCCACAGAGAACTTCCTGGGAAAGATGATGGCAGTGAGGGATGGAGGGATAGTACATGGCCAACCGAGGTTCGATCTCCGAGTTCCATATGGTCCCCCGAGCACAGAGGCAGGAGTAACTCTTAGCATTGCCGGGTGTGACCCCAAAACAAAGATGAAGCCAGTGCCCTGGGGGTGCCCGGTTCCCCCTGCTGTCTCTTCTGCCTCGATGACTCTGCCTGCCCCTAGGCTTTGAGCAGGGGTGCATGGAGCCTTCTGGAAGGCGGGAGACGCAGGCCAGGGAGTATCAGTCTCTCTTCTGCAGACCCTTGGCTGCTTGGCGGCCCTCGCTGAGTTTCTCTCTCTCTCTCTCTCTCTCTTTCTCTCTCTCTCTCTCTCGCTCGCTCTCTCTCTTGCTCTCGTTCTTGCTCTCTTCCGTCTCTTGCTCACTTGGTTGCTCTCTCTCCCTCTCTGCGCATGTGCACCCATGCACGCACGCGTGCACACACACATACACACACACACACACACACACGGGCGCCCTGCGTTACACACACGAGGGCACTCTGCGTTACTCACACACACACAAGGGCACTCTGTGTTGCACACACATGAAGGCACTCTGTGTTACACACACATAAGGGCACTCTGCATTACACACACATGAAGGCACTCTGCGTTACACACACACATAAGGGCACTCTGCGTTACACACACATGAAGGCACTCTGCGTTACACACACACATAAGGGCACTCTGCGTTACACACACACGAGGGCACTCTGTGTTACTCACACACACGAGGGCACTATGCGTCACACACACACAAGGACGCTCTGCGTTACACACACACACATGAGGGCACTCTGCGTTACACACACACACACGAGGGCGCTCTGCGTTACTCTCACACACACGAGGGCGCTCTGCATTACACACACACACACACACACGAGGGCGCTCTGCATTACACACACACACACAAAGGTGCTCTCTGCCTTACTCGGGACCTGAATTCTATACTTAGCCAGAAACGCCCTTACCAAAGTTGGTCTGGGCCCTCTCGGCCCACATGAGTAGGTACGCACAGCCGCTGTGCCTTTCTAGGGTCGTTTATAAACCCAGTAGAGGTGAGGGAGTTATCGAGGACGTCTGCTTCCGCCCATCCGTCACTGGCCTGAGTATCTCTGCAGAGTTTCTGCCAGCAGAGTTTCTGCCCGTAGACTGAAGTCAGCATGCCTGTCGTGTTTTTTCTTAACCAGTTCGAATACCTGGGGTACGGGGGTCTTGGGGGTTAGTTAGGGTCAGCGCTGCAGCACCTTTGCTAGAACGCTATTGTGAGCGAGCGTGGTCCCGGGCGCGTGTGGCCGACTCCCGTTCTGCCGTGAGATTGATAAATGTGGAAGCGGCTGGTGCTTCGTCCCGACTGATTGCTTGTCGGAGAAAAATCCAATTTGGGTTTTGTCGGGCAAGCTTGTAAAGATATATTGATTTCCCAGGATTATCTTGCTTTGATTTAACCGGCAAAGATTATGGTTCCCTTAAAAGCTCTTTTAATCTATTGCTGAAGAGTGTTTTCTTCGTGTTGGCTTTTGGGAGTTCAAAGGAGCCCTGGCATTCCCCCAGGAGTGCGGGCTCTGTTGGAATAGCGGCAGCATCGCCTTGCAATTACAGAAGGCTTCGTCAGAACACACAGTTCCACCAGGGACTCGGCCTCGTGCTGTGGGCCAGGGCCCTGCGTGACCTGGAGGCCCCAGGAGTTTCCTGACTCTTGGCTATGAGGACACTGTCTCTCCCTAACAAGGGAGAGGAGAGGGCCTGTCTCTGCATCCTCCTAACTCCGATCTCTATCCTACTCTGAAGCACAGTGCTCCCAACAATCCTGTTGGGCCAACAAAGAAAATCACTCGGGCCTTCCAAGTGACAGCCTGGGTCACCCCTCCCCCCACTGCCCGGGCCCTTATTGTCAATGTCCGTTCGGGGGGATCACTGACCCCCCTCCCCTGCTCAGGGATCGCCCAGTTCTCAGCCACCCTGGCGGCCAGAAAGTGTGTCCAGTGGGCGGAAGCAAGGGTCCGCGTGACCAGCGGTGCTTTCTAATGTGTCGGGGGGGTGGGGGGGTCTGCATGATGAGCGGCAGGTCCTTACACGTCTGCTCTCTGCAGGGGGACGCCCATCCTCCTTGTGCACGGTGACAAACGGGAAGCCAAGGCCCACCTGCAGGCCCAGGCGAAGCCCTACGCAAACGTTTCCCTCTGCCAGGTAAGCCGCATTGCTGGCACCCTCAGACGCCTGGAGGGGGGACCCGGACCTTGAACCCAACCCCCTTCCTGTATGTCCCCCCCCCCACTCCCCCTATGTGGGACTCCCCTCTCCAGCCCCCACCACCAGCGCTGCTCTGGCCCCGAAGCAGCCTCTCCTGATGGGGGTCTCCTTCTTCTCTGGAGAAGCAGTCACTCAAACCCAGGGCTGGGCGTGTGCCCGTGGAATAGACATCTACAGAGCGCAAATTACCAAGGGCCCGGGGCACTTGCCTTGCACACGGCAGACCCGGGTTCCCTCCCACAGCATCCCGTAGGGTTTCGAGCATGGCAGGAGTGATTCTCGAGCGCAGAGCCGGGATCAAGCCCTGAGCACTGCTGATCAAAGAGCCCGGGTATTGTGGCCTCTGGCCACCCTGGTCCTTCTGGCGCCTTCCACGCCAAGTTCTCCTTCCTGCTCCGGTGGGATGCGTACCCGGTGCTTCCCCTTGCCCAGGTCGTGGCACTGACCTGTGCTCTTAGCCACTGCCTGCCTGCCCCGGCATGCCTTGCTGTCAGGAGGACCCCGTCTCTCCTCCCGCCGCCCCATCAGCTTGCTCCCAGTTTCTTCCCGGTGCCTCTCCGGAAACCTGAGTCTTGGGCCTTTTCCTTTGTGTTCCCGTGTGCATCTGCCGTGCCAGCTCCTCCGGCGGCTCTCGCAGCCAGGCTGTGCCAGAATCATAATCCCCCAAGTTATTTGGGGGAACCCAGTGTAAGGTCTGGCCATAGCAGGTGGGGGGCTAAGGGATCATTGGTGGTCCCACCACAGGTGGATCAGCACGGCCTGTTGGGATCAAAACAAAATGGAAGATGACCCCCCCTCACCACACACACACACACACACACACACACGCACGCATGCACACACACATGCACGCACGCACAGATAGTAAAGGCTGCACTGCCCTCCAGTTTCTTTGCAGTATCCCCGTAACTTTGTCCCCGTACTTTCCCGCCGGAGCACAGCAAGTTAAACGTGACCAGCGAGTCTCAAGCACAAATTGTGCCCGGTGCTTTCCCCTCCGTGTCCGAGAGCGCCCTGACTGTGTTCCAGCTAGAAACTGGGGGTCCGGGGGAGGGAAGGAATTCAGAGGGCCCCATGCTTCCGGTCTGGTTTTGGTCACCTTCCTGAGGGCACTGAGCTGTGTCTCCTGGGGTTGCCCCTTCTCCGAGGACCCTGTGCCCCTGGGCCGGGTCTGAGCTGGCCTGCCACAGCCGAGCACCACCACCAGCCGCCCCCAACCTGCACTTTCACTAGTTGGCTTCCACCCCGTAGAACAAGGGTTTGTACCCATTGTACCACTTTGTGAAAGCATTTGCCCAAAATCTGTCCTCAAGTCCTTTTGTTGGGCTCTTATTTCCAAGCACAAGAGGTTAGGCTGCCTTAATAGCTTATCAGATTCCCGGGGGACAGAAAATAAAGTGACAACAGGAACTGGGAGACTCAAGAGTTTCTTGACTGATTTCCGGGTCCCTGCTATGGAAGGTGAGGCTGCCCCTCCTAGTACTGCCACAGGCCGGCCACTAGGGGGCGCGGTGAGCTGTGACCCCTGCAAAGAGCCGTTCCTTTGACCAGAGCCCGTCCAGCGCTCTGCAGGAATTGTGACCTCATGGGATCTGTTGAAATGACCCTTTTTGCCTCTCTTGAAGGTGAATTCTTGGGGTTTTCTTTTTCAGTGACATAGAAGTGTCATGTGACTTGGCTCAGACACTTCAATCAGCATTTTTTTTCTTTGTGGGTCACTCCCGACGATGCTCAGGGGTTATTCCTGGCTCTGCACTCAGGAATGACTCTTGGTGGTGCTTGGGGGACCATATGGGGTGCCGGGGATCGAACCCGGGTCAGCCACGTGCAGGGCAAACGCCCTGCCTGCTGTACTATCCTTTCGGCCCCTTCAGTCAGCGTCTTTAGAGGAACTTGGGATGGAGGCAGGGTTCAGATGCTGGGGTCTGCCCCAGCCCTGTTGGTGATGTCTCAACCCCCCGTCTGTCCTGCATCCCGGAAATGAAGTGCCAGTTCTGCTCTCCGCCTCCCTTGGGCAGTTGCTGGGCACAGGCATATTTGGGGCTAGCCCAAAAGCTCACGGTTTACAGCAAAACTAAACTCGAAAGCCAAGTCTTGTGGCTGTGACTTTCTCAAGGGGTCAGCGCACACAGTGACAGTCTTCTTCCTAAGGTAGACATTTTAGCAGGGGAGGGACAGTCCCCTCTCTCTTGTGGCCAGACCCCACCAAACACATGCTGATCTTTCATGGCACCCCCAAATGTGGAGTCAAGGAGAATTGTGTTCTGGGCAGCCCCTGGCTGGGTGCCCCCCACTTACCCCCGGGCCCCTTCACTACCTCCCACAGACCAGCTCCCCAGATGGGTGGGGTGGGGTCCCATGCTAGGGTCCAGAGAGCCCAGCTGTTCCCCTTCCTGAGCCCTCAGCCTCTCAGCTTCCCTCAGAGTCCTGGGCATTGCCTGCCTGGTGGTTACAGATGAGACTCGGGGGCTCAAGTCTTGGCTAAGCATTTTCAAAGCTGTGGCCCATAAACTGTTTTCCCACCCTGACCCGTTTAACTCTCATATTTCCTACATGTGAAGGTCTGGGCAATAACCCAGGGCCTGCTACCCTGAACCCCAATGGGCGGTAAAGTGTTTTCTGCTTCTTGGCCACCTTCCCTGTGGCTTTGTAAAGGTGCCGTTTAGTCAGATTCAGTGTATTATCTTTTTTTGTACCCATTTTTATTGAGGTACTAGGATTGGCACTCTTGCTCTAGCACTGTTCTGTAGCACTGTCCTCCCGTTGTTCATCGAGTTGTTCGAGCAGGCCCAGTAACGTCTCTGTTGTGAGATTTGTTGTTACTGTGTTTGGCATATCGAATACGTCACAGGTAGCTTGTCAGGCTTTGTCGTGTGGGCAAGATACTCTCGGTAGCTTGCCGGGCTCTCCGAGAGGGGCGGAGGAACTGAACCTGGATCAGCCGGGTCAGCCACACCAAGGCAAACACCCTACCGATGTGCGATGTGCTATCAGTCCAACCACTATTGTTACTCATACTTTTCCTGCAGACGTCATTCCAGCACCCCTCCACTAGGGGACCCCCCATCCCCTCCAGTTTCCCCGGGGACCCTCCTGCCCTCAACCCTCATGTAATCTCAATTCTGTAGACGAAATCTATAGCGCCGATGACTTTGACCATTTGTTGTCCGCTTACTATGTTTCTTTTGTTTTTTCTTTTTTAAATCTCATGTTCAGGATTTGAAAAATCACTTTTTTTTTAAATTGTGGAGATGGTGACACCTGAACACATGGGCTAATCAGGAATCCCACAAAATCGTTAAAATAAATTGATCAAGGAAAAAATTTCTTTTCACAAACATTTTTTTTTACAGGCATGTGAGTTTTAAAAGCTGATATTGTGAATCATTCTAGTATTCGATATGCCAGACACAGTAACAACAAAGTCTCCAATGGAGACGTTACTGGGCCCGCTCGAGCAAATCGACGATCAACGGGAGGGCCTTTTATCTGTGAAAGCACGTTTTTGTTTTGTTTTGTTTTAATTAATTTATTTTTTTGTTAGTGAAACACCATGAGGTACAGTTACAGACTTACAAATTTTTGTGCTTGGGTTTCAGGTATACAATGATCAAGTACCCATCCCTCCACCAGCACCCATCCTCCACCACCACGGGTCCCAGTATCCCTCCCACCCTCCATCCCCCCCCCCCCCCCATCCCACCCTGCCTCTGTGGCAGGGCATTCCCCTCTGTTCTCTCTCTCCTTTTGGGTGTTGTGGTTTGCAAAAGAGGCATTGAGTAGCAATCATGTTCGGTCTCTAGTCTACTTTCAGCATGCTTCTCCCACCCTGGGAGGATCCTCCCAACACCCTTAATTTGGTGCTCTCTTCTCTATCTGAGCTTCCTTTTCCCCCAGCACGTGTGGCTGGCCTCCAAGCCATGGAGCAAAATTCCTGGTACTAATCTCGGCCACTCCTGGGTGTTAGTCTCCCGTTTTGTTGCTTTATGTTCCCCAAATGAATGCAATCTTTCTGTGTCCATCCTGCTCTTTCTGAGTCATTTCGCTTAACATGATACTTTCCATGTAGTACCACTTGTATGTAAATTTCATGACTTCATCTTTTCCAACAGCTACATAGTAGTCCATTGTGTAAATGTACCAAAGTTTCTTTAACCAGTCATCTATTCTCGGGCACTCAGGTTTTTTCCAGATTCTGGCTATTGTAAAGAGTGCTGCCATGAACAAACAAGTGCAGATGTCACTTCGACTATACATTTTTGCCTCTCTGGGATATATTCCCAGGAGTGGTATTGCTGGGTCAAATGGGAGATCAAATTCTAATTTTTGGAGAATCGTCCATACTGTTTTTCCAAAAGGGTTGGACCAGTCGGCATTCCTACCAGCAGTGAAGGAGGGTCCCTTTCTTGCCACATCCGCGCCAGCACTGGTTGGAAAGCACGTTTTTTAAGATTTACGTGAAATAGATAAATCCTACAAATGTGTGAAATTTAGTGTGGAGAAAAAATTCAAGGGGATAATCCAGATAGGCCTGTACTAGTATAAAAGTGTGTTCTCTGGGACTGGCATCATGGTCCAGGGGCTAGGGCCTCTCTGCGCCTAGCCCAGTGGGTTTGCCGAGCTCCTGCAGTGATGCAGGTGAATCTTGTCATCTGCCTCCCTGGGACTCTCAGAAAGTAGCCTGGGAATGGCTCTTTTCCTTCCCTGCCCGTCCTCACCCAGTGATAGGAAGTAAAACTGTGAGCCGAGTAGATTTTGCCAAGGAACGTGACTGTCTACTGTTGGAGGCCTCAGTGTAGGAGCTAAATTTGCAGCCGCTGGCGTGCTTGTAAGAGAAGGAGCTTCCATTCTTGATTTTTTTTTGGGGGGGTTGTTTTTTTTCTTTTTGGGGTCACACCCGGCAATGCACAGGGGTTACTCCTGGCTCTGCACTCAGGAATTACCCCTGGCGATGCTCGGGGGACCATATGGGATGCTGGGAATCAAACCCAGGTCGGCCACGTGCAAGGCAAACGCCCTACTCGCTGGACTATCGCTCCAGCCTTGCAGCCTTGGAGCTTCCGTTCTAACTCCAGGACTCCCTATGCTCACCACGGTGTTTTCTTTCTATGTGCTCGGAGATCTTCCTGCACAGATTAATTTCTCTCTGAGTCGAGTATCTAATTTAGAACCTTTGCATAAAAATCTCCTTTGTTTCCATTAGTTTGTGACAACGAAAGAAATTAGGTCTCACACTTCTAATTACAGGAATTAAAAGTGTCGTGCTATGTATTGAATCATTCTGGTTAACTTTTCTAAAAAAAGAGGTTTTTTTGTTGTTTTTCTTTTTTTTTTTTTTTCTTTTAATGAGTGGTTATAAAAGGTCCTTGTCCATTAAGTTCCACCAGAGGGCAGCAAAAACAACCTTGAAAAATTTTAACTTGGGGAGAAAAAAATTCAACCTGTGCCGCCTTCTCTAATTTAATCTCCGGTAACTAGAGGATATTGAGTGTTTCTGAAATAAAATGACCTCTTTTTCATCCCAGGCAAAACTGGATATTGCATTCGGAACACACCACACGTAAGCCATTTTTTCCTACTACGGGGAAGTATAGAGTATAGAGGGGGTTAGAGAGGGGTGTAGGTGCTGTTCAGCATGTGCCCTGTGGGTAGCGCTTTTGCAAGGCTTTTGCTGGGGGCAGGGGGAGGCCGTGGGAAGGAGGTCAGGAAGACGGGTGTGATGCTGTGTCAGCCTTGGGACAAAACTGGGGGATTCTTCCTCTCAACAAGAAGAAATTTGCTCGGCCATCTCTGCTTCCAGTTCAAGACATTGGCCAGGGTCTGGAGGGGCTGGGGGGGGTCACCCTCACAGTCACCTTAGGCTTCTGGTAAGAGCCACAACAGCCCGACCTGCAGAATATCAGCAGGCTGAACTGGGCTGGTGGGAGAAAGGTTCCCAGCACGCAGGGCGGCAACGAGACGACCAAGCTTGGATTGTCGCTGTTCCCTTTCTTTTTTTTTTTTTTCCTTTTGGGTCCCACCTGGTGTTGCACAGGGGTTACTTCTGGCTCATGCACTCAGGAATTACTCCTGGCGGTGCTCGGGGGATCATATGGGATGCTGGGAATCAAACCCGGGTCGACCGCGTGCAAGGCAAACGCCCTCCCTGCTGTGCTATTGCTCCAGCTACAATTGCTGTTCCCCTTTCTGGGAATCACGGTTTTCTAGCTGGCTTGCTGCGAGCTTGGGAGGCAGTCACCTTGGCACATCTATCCCTGTCTCTGCCCCTGGCCTTCATGTGGCCCGTGGCCCGGCCGCTCTAGCCAAGACAACACTAGTTAGTGGGTCCCAACCCCCTGCACCCACGGACAGCATGGCCCAGGGAGCAGAGGCTGGAGACCACTGTGCTGGACCTGAGTGGACACGGGTGCTACCCCAGGTTCCCTGTGTCTGCAGCACGAAGAGTTTGCTCGGAAGCTGGATGGAGCACCACTCAGCCTCCAGCTCTGGCCTGTGCTCGTAAACCCAACCACAGGGCAGCAGGGAGGGCATATTCGTTTGCCTTGTACATGGCCAGCCGGGGTCCTATCCCCAGCATCCCATGGGGTCCCCTGAACCTGCCAAGAGCGATACCAGACCATAGAGCCGGGTGTAAGCCCTGAGCACTGCCGGGTGTGGCCCAAAAACCAAAACCCGCATTCAGCTCCTTGGTTTCAACCAGGAAGCAGAGCCGGAGAAAGGGCATCACTTGGCATGAGAATCCCGCCCGCTATTGCTTGCTGGGGCCTTGGCTGTTCTCGGCGGGGGCTCCTGGCCAGTGCTCAGAGAGCCGCTCTCGGAAATAGCCCGCTGGGTGACACAGCTCGATGCCCAGGCCCAGGGGTGCTTAGGGGTCAATGCCCAGCAGGGTTTGGGCTGCACGGTACCAGGGTCCAGCTTGTGGCCCTTGGCATGCAGGGCAGCCCGCTCTGACCATCAGGCACTTGCAGGTAAAGCACTGCACCTTTCACCAGCCATCCCTGTGGCGTGATTCCCCCCTTTGTTCCTCCTAGCCCCGGGGAGACAAGCTCGAGGTCTGAGCCCCCCGTTCTCCAGGAGAGGCCTCTTGGCAGAGACAGGATCCAGGAGCCCACAGGCGGCCGCCTCCCATCCACAGCACAGCGCATGGGCCTGGGTGGCGGGACCGAGGCGGGTTCTGGTTTTGTTTTTGTTTCGTTTTATTGTTTTGTTTTGTTTTGTTTTGCTTTTTGGGTCACACCCAGCGATGCTCAGGGGTTACTCCTAGCTCTACACTCAGGAATTACTCGTGGCAGTGCTGGGGAGACCAGATGGGATGCCGGGGATTGAACCCGGGTGGGTCGCATGCAAGGCAAACGCCCTACCTGCTGTGCTATCACTTCAGCTCCCCGTGTCGGGTTCTGGCCTTAGCCTTTACACGTGCCCTCTGTGTCTCCAGGAAGATGATGCTTCTGCAGTACGAGGAAGGCCTGCGCGTGGTCATCCACACCTCCAATCTCATCCGCGACGACTGGCACCAGAAGACGCAGGGGTGGGTCCCCCACGACTCCTCCCCTCCCTTTTCTCCTTGTTGCACAGCCAAGAGAGCTCCCGGTACCCACACCTCCGGCCCGGGCCGGTTCCCAGGATCTGGGAGCTGGGTCCGTGCCCATGAGGGACCCCCCGGGGCCACTCTGTCTCTCTGCCCCCTGCGCCCTGCTGGGTGTCCAGGGAGAGTTGCGGGCCCAGGCAAGTGCAGATTTTCCGCTGTTTTCCCAGGGAACATGGGGGCCACCTGAGCTGGTTTTTTTCCCCAGCCTTTAGCTCCAGACTCGGGCACTGGGTGCCAAGCTGTTGTCCCTCACTGAGGGCCTCAGCACACACATCCTTAGGCTGCTGTGGCAGAGGTTGAGGGTTTGTGTGTTTGGGGGCCACACCCGGTGATACTCTGGTTACTCCACGCTCTGCACTCAGGAATCACTCCTGGCAGTGCTCAGGGCACTGGGACGCCTGAGATTGAACCTGGGTCAGCCACATGCAAAGCAGACACCCTCCTCACCGTATTATTTATTGTTTTGGCCCCTTTCAAAAAAAATGCTTTTGATTGGTACCTTGCCAGGCTCTCCAAGAGGGACGGAGGAATCGAACCCGGGTTGGCCACGTGCAAGGCAAACGCCCTACCCACTGTGCTATTGCTCCAATAGTACTTAAATTTTATAGATAACTAACTTAAAATACTAACCATTTAATACAGATATGGGATATATTAGCCAATGTAACGAGTAAAATAGAATTTTCACAATTTATGTCTGTGTGATGAGGAAAAGGCCCTAAATAATATTCCTGTGCTCAGATAATTCTAATATCTAAGTGACGAGAAGCAACATTTAGACTCAAAAAAATGGAAAGAAATACATGCATACGCCTTTAATTTATCAAAAATTAGGGTTTCCCCAAAAGCTTGGTATTGTGACTTATTTTAAATTTATGTTCACATTATATATGGACATCTTTTTCTGTAATTCCTTCCCTTACCCCAAACAACTTCTCATATAAAGACATCTGAAGTATATAGGACTTCTATAAATTCCAAACAAAGAATGGCAATTAGGTCCTGAGAACGGGGGGACAGTGCTTACAGTGCTTTTGATTGGGGGGGGGGGCCCTCCTGGCCGTGCCAGGGGACTGCTGAGCCAAGGGTCAGTCCCCAGGTGTGTGCAAGCAAAGTAGTGCCCAGGGACCCCATCCTGGATTTCCCTAAGGAGGTGGGGTTCCTTGGTGGTAAGTGCCAGCCCCCCTCCCCCGGCTGCCAGGCCTTGCCCGGCCTGCTGGCCAGCGCCCATGGGGGTCAGCCTCCACTTCCCTTTCACAGGGTCCTTGTGGCCGGTCCTCTGCCTTCTGGGGAGGAGCTGCAGCTTGGGGTCCTGCCAGGTTCCAGCATCTGCCCCACTGCCCCCCCGGTAGTCCCCCTTCATGGCCCGGGTGGGCTCATACTCCTCATGGGCACGTGCCAGCCATGAGCCCAGACCCTGTCGGTCAGTCTCCTTCCCGTGGGTAGACCACAGCTCAGACAGAGCGGCTGGGTCCCCCTCCAAAGGCCTTTTCGAGCCCGATGGTCAGTCTTGCCCCGGAGCCAGGCATCACTGGTCCCCTCTGACCAGTCGCTTCCCCCACCCCAGCCAGGCTCCGGACAGTCTCCCATGGATACTCAGGGTCCCACTGGACCCTCTTCTCCCAGAGCAGCGTCACTGGCCCCGTGCAGGGCTGGGGGTGGGGGCATAGTCCCTGCCTCCAGGTCTCCTTGCAGGCTTGTGGGTCCAGAACTTCCAGGACTTATTCTCAGGGACGCGAGTGATCGATCGTCAGCATCCTGGACTCTCGAGGGGTCCAGAACGCTGCTCCTCCCTCTCCTCCTGGCCTCAGGTGGAAACCGAGCAGGCAAGGCACCTTAGCTGCTGTGGCACATGCAATTGAGGGGAAAGACACAGAGGGGTTTTGGGGCCCTTAAAAATAAATGATTGGGTGGGGGGGGGAGCTGAACTGATAGTACACTGACTACAGCATTTGCCTTGCACACGGCTGACCCGGGTTCAATTCCCAGCATCCCATATGGTCCTCTGAGCACCATCAGGAGTGATTCCTGAGTGCAGAGCCAGGAGTAACCCCTGTGCATCGCCAAGTGTGACCCAAAAAGCAAAAACAATAATAATAATAATAATAAACGATTTGGGGCTGGAGCAATAACACAGTAGGTAGGGCATTTGCCTTGCACGCAGCCGACCCGGGTTTGATTCCCAGCATCCCAGATGGTCCCCCAAGCATCACCAGGAATAATTCCTGAGCAATGCCAGGTGTGACCCAAAAAGCAAAACACTTTAAATAAGTAATAAAATAAATGATTTAAGGGGCCAGGGAGATAGTCCAATGAGTAGATAACTTGCCTTGCAAGCAGCCAACTCGGGTTCGATCCCCAGCACCCCATGGGGCTCCCGGGGCCCTGCCAGGAGTGACCCCTGGGCATTGCCAGTGTGGCCTTTCTCCGCATTCCCTCCCTCCCCCCTCCAAAAAAAAAAAGTTTTGGGCCAGGATGGTTTTCTCAGCCCCTTTTGTGCAGTGTCAGACGTCTCATGACTCAACTGTGATCTAGTGTCATTGCAGAAATTTTGAAAGTTACTGCGTGACTTAGAAGTCCACCTCCCCTCCTCGCCCATGTGTCCTGCACCATTTGGCCATCACACATACTGGCCGGCCGGGAGGCCTTCAGGCTTGCTGCTCCAAGCATGACATCCTTGTCGCTCAGCCGTGGCCTTAGTCAGGGGGCCTCGTGGGAGAGAGCTGGGCAGAGCTGGGCAGAGCTGGGTGACACCCACCCACCAGTCCCAGGCTTGGGGAACGCTTCCTCCCTGCAGGCCTGAGTCCTGCCCGGCCTTGGAGGCATCGAGTGAAAGAGGAACTGGACGGTTTTCACTTGGGACTTGACTGGGCGGGACTCAGTGGCCTCCAACGGTAACAGCCTTGAGGACTTCCCGTGTGTACCCGAGATGGGGGGGGGGGGGCATTTGCTCCTTGTCTGGGCTGCAGCCTGGGGTTTGGGGGGCAGGCTGGAGTGTGCAGATGAGGAGACAGTGCTTAGACACTGATTCTGCACTCTACCCCAAAGCGGCTTAGGGGATCAGGGAGGAGCCGGTGGTGCTCCCTGAGTGAGGCAGGTGTCCTTGTGGGACCTTTGCTGGGGCTGGGTGGGCCGTGTCTGTTCTGACTGGAACTGGTAGCGTTTGGGTGCCCAGAGCCAGGCAGGGGTGTGGGGTAGGAGATGAGGAAGGAGGAGGGGCTGCCCAGGATGACGGGGTCTTGAACTCACGCTGAGGCGTTCTAACGCAGTTCCCGCAGATGCCCCAGGTGCACCGCGATGGATTTCTCTCCCACCTCCACCCCTCCCCTCAAGCATTGCCTCATCTGAGGGGCCCACCCTGACAACATGCAGAGATCTCCCACAACGATGGATCCCAGGCCTGGTGGCTGACGATGGACTTTTTCGTTTTTCTCCTCCAGCATATGGCTGAGCCCTTTGTACCCACGCCTGGCCCCCGGGAGCCCCGGCGGCGGGGACTCGGCCACCCACTTCAAAGCCGATCTCATCAGCTACCTGACGGCCTACAACGTCCCCCCGCTCCAGGAGTGGGTGGACCTCATCCGGGAGCACGACCTCTCCGAGACCCGGTGCGTGTCCTCCCCCACGGTCCGCGGGGCAGACGGACAGTGTGGGAGTGTGGCCAGGCCACGGGCCCTGGGGAAAGTGATGGGGACTGGTCATTGCATCAGGGTCTCAGGCACCGAGGCAGAGACCAGCAAGCCCGCGGGTCTGTTCCCGGAGCCCATGTATGGCCTCGCTGTCCACCAAGCGTCCCAGGGAAACGGCCTGTCCTTAGGATGTTTCACGGGACATTTGTCTTCCTGTGTGTTCTGTGATTGGAGGGGTGGGGGCTGCCCACCCATGTCCTGTCTCGGCACCTCTCACGTGGGTTTCCTCTCTCTCCAGCGTGTACCTGATCGGCTCGACCCCCGGGCGCTTCCAGGGAAGTCAGAAAGATGATTGGGGACATTTCAGACTCAGGAAGGTAACAGTAGACGGTGGCTGTCTGGCCCTTTTTTTTTTCCTTCCATATCTTTCCCATTTGCAATGTACATACTCCAACTTTTCCATGCCTAGCATTTGTGTATTTTAATGGTGGCTCTGGGCAGTTTGGCCTCATAGCTAATTGGACCTAAGACAGTTTTGCCATAAAAGAGGAAAACAGCAGAAAGCCCACGGGGGGGTGTTCAAAGGGGCGCCAGAAGCAAGAGCGTTCTTGGATGTGTCGGATCGATGCTGCTGTGTTCTGCGGGAAGCTGATTTGCTTTCCAGGGTACAAGGTAAAAGAACAGAAGGACAAAAACCTGTGGGGCAAAACATGAATACAATAAAAAATAAAAATAAAAAATATAAATAAAAATATAAATAAAATAAAAATAAATAAAATATAACAAATATAATATATGTAATAAATATAATAAAATAGATATAAAATAAAAATATAAATAAGAATATTAAACATAAAAATAAAAGAATACAATAGAATTGATCACTCACGGGTATTGACTGTTGGGGGGAGAGGGGGTAGCAGTAGCCATGGAAACAAGCTCCCCCCCATTTGTCTGAAGAGATTCCCAGCCAGTATCTCTTCTGTGATCGTTCCTGAGCACTTGTCCCCAAGTCTGGGGCTCATTCAGGAGACCTTGAGTTTCTCAGGGTAGTTTCCAGTGATGAGACTTGCAGGACGTGGGCTGGAAGTTTCCGGTGCCTTCCAGTTACAGCACCACTCCGGTTTTCGGTTTTCTTTTCTTTTTGTTTGGTTTGGTTTGGTTTGGGGGCCACACCTGGTGATGCTCAGGGGTTACTCCTGGCTCAGCCCTCAGGGATCACTCCTGGCGGGGCTCAGGGTACCCCTATGGGATACCGGAAATCAAACTCGGGTCAGCCACATGCAAGAAAAATGCCCTCCCCCCCCCCCCGCCCCCACTGTCCCATCTCCCTCCAGCCCCATTTTTTTTAATTGTTTTGTTTTTTTTTTAACATCTCACTCAGCAGTGCTCGGGGTGCTCCCGGCTGGGTGCTGGGGTTGTGGGGGTGGAGGGCGTGGAGGGCTGGGTTTGTGGCCTCTTCTGGCTGTTCCCGTGGGATCAACCCCAAGAATACACTCAGTTGTCGAACTCTTCCTAGGCCCCATTTTTGTTGTTGTTGTTGTTGTTTTTGTCTTTTTCTTTTTGGCAGGCGGGGGGCCTCCCAATCAGTGCTCAGGGACCCAGAGGCCGATCTCAGTAATAATCCACCACTGAGTCAGTGGTCCGAGGCTCTGGGCTCTGTGGGTGTGGTGCTGGGGGCCACTAGGGCCACCCGATACGGCTCAGGACTCCCAGAGCTACCCCCGGCAGTTCTTGGGGTGAGAACCCGGGCCAGGCAGTTCCCGTTAAGAACACCTGCGCTATCTCCTGGCCCCCAAGGGCCGGCCACCGGAGGTCTCAGGCAGATGATCCTAAGTGACTGAGCATCTGCCCTTGTGTTAGTTTCCCTGTTCCTCGTGGCAGGGCTGGAGGGTGGGTGCCCCTCCAGGTGTGGCGGCTTTTGACGGATCTATAATGAACAGATGCCACACACAGAAATCAGTGACGCACACGCTGTCAGCTCTATGACTTTCTGCCATCGTCCCTTGCCGAACAAGTTTAGTGACCAGAGCGGCTTTCTGCTGGCCGGCAGAATGAAAGCGCAGAAGTCCTGCCTCACACTTACTGGAGTTCTGAGGGACTTTCTTAAAAGCTCTCCCTTTCTCTCAGTGCATCAGCCACTTGGTTTTTGTACAAATCCCTGCCCCCGCCCCCAGGCCTGTCAGCTCTGTGCTTGCAAGCAATTGGGCTCTCCAAACCTGAGCAGTAAACACACCATCCATCGGGTCTGTTGCCCAGAATACTACAAAGATTGATCTCAGGGCGGAAAAATTCTCTTTCTCTGGATTGGTTTTCAGACATTTATCCCAAGACAAATCTTGCTTTAAAATGTCTCCCTTAAGAGAGGGATAGTTGGGGACTGGAGCGATAGCACAGCGGGGAGAGTCTGTCTTGCACACATCCGACCCTGGTTCAATTCCCAGCATCTTATATGGTACCCCGAACACCATCAGAAGTAATTCCTGAGTGCATGAGCCAAGAGTAACCCCTGTGCATCGCCGGGTGTGACCCAAAAAGCAAAAATAATAATAATAATAGTGGCAGGCGGTGGGATCGGGATGGGCAGTGGGGGAACTTGGACCAACTGGGTCGTTGGAAAAAGTACACTGGTGAAGGCACGGGTGTTGGGAAATTATTTGACTGAAACCCAATCATGAACAGCTTTGTAAATGTGTATATCACTGTGATTCAATTCAAAAATAAATGGGGGTTGGAGCAACAGCACAAAGTATAGGTAGGGCGTTTGCCTTGCACATGGCCGACCCGGGTTTGATTCCCAGCATCCCATATGGCCCCCTGGGCACTGCCAGGAGTAATTCCTGAGTGCAGAGCCAGGAGTAACCCCTGTGCATTGCCAGGTGTGACCCTAAAAGCAAAAAAATAAATAAATGGGGAAAAAATATATTTCCCTTTGGTTTGGTCCCCGTGACATATTCAATATGCCAAACACAGTAACAACAAAGTCTCCAATGGAGACGTTACTGGGCCCGCTCGAGCAAATCGATGAACAACGGGAGGGCCTTTACTTACTTTACTTGGTTTGGTTAGTACTGTTTTTTTTTTAATTGGAAGTTTTTTAACCTGTGTTTTTTAACCCCCATGAAAGTAAAACAGTGTCGGGCTCTGAAAGTCTCTCCCAGCGAGCAAGCAATGCGGCCCTGGGTTTGACACGCCGCACCCCTATTCCCAGGTGGCCCTGCCCGGGAAGGATCCCAGGGCCAGAACAGCCCCGTTTTGAGTCGTCCCAACGTCTTGTCTTTGCAGCTTCTCAAGGAGCACGCCGCCTCTGAGCCCCGAGCGGACGCTTGGCCCATCGTGGGCCAGTTCTCGAGCATCGGGTCCCTGGGCGCCGACGAGTCCAAGTGGCTGTGTTCCGAGTTTAAGGAGAGCCTGGGCAGCCTGGGCCACGGAGCCAGGGCCCTGGGCAGCAGCGCTGCCCCCCTGCACCTGGTGAGTCCTGCCCGCACACCTGCGTTGCCCCCTCTGTCTCGCCCATCCTCCATGCTCCCCCTCTGCCTCTCCTGCCACGGGCTGGTGGTTCTGCAGGGCAGCGGGGGTCTGCCATGCTGAGAAACGTCCAGCAGCAGCCTGCCTGGTGACCACACCTGGGGTCAGCCTGACCACACGCCACCCTGCTCAGGTCATTCCTCCCCTGCCTCTGTGCTCTCTCTCCAGCCCCTCGTTCTCACTTCTTGAGGAAGCTCCATTGCATTCCAGCATGGTTACATGAATTTGCATTCCCAGCAGGAGTACAGAAGGCTTTTTTTTTAATAGAAGGCGAGATTGTTTTGTTTTATTTATTTATTTATTTTTGCTTTTTGGGTCACACCCGGTGATGCCCAGGGGTTACTCCTGGCTCTGCACTCAGGAATCACCCCTGGTGGTGCTCAGGGGATGCTGGGAATCGAACCTGGGTGGGCTGCGTGCAAGGCAAAAGCCCTACCCGCTGTGCTATTGCTCCAGCCCCAGAAGGGCTTTTTTTTTCCCCTTCATTTCCTTGCCATGATGTAGCCATTCTCACAGGGCCCATTGGCATCTGCAGGATTTTGACTTACGTTTCACTAAGTGATGGGTGTCACTTTTTCAGGTTCCTCTTAGAACCGTCTCTTTGGACTTCTGTCTGTTCAAATAATCTTTTTTATTTTTCCTGGTTCTTTATTATGCCTCTGGCACTAAACCTTTACCCAGTGTATGATGTTTGGGAGCTGGAGCCATAGTACAGCTGGTAAGGTGCTTGTCTTACACGTGGCCAACTCGATTTGATCCCCAGCATCCCCTGTGGTCCCCTGAGCACCAAGCCAGGAGTAATTTCATGAGCACCTCTAGGTGTGACCCCAAAACAGTAGCAAAACTGTGTATGATATATGTGCAAACCTTTTTTTTCCCCCCATTCAGTAGAGTGTTGTTTCATCCTGATTGCTTTCTTTTCTGATTGTTCTTGTTTTGTTGAGGGGGGGGCTCCCCAGCAGTGCTAAGAGCTGCACCCAATGGTACTGGACAGGTACGGACCCAGCCCCAGGGCCTTGTGCCTGCCAAGCCGGGCTGCAGCCCCTGGAGCTCTCTCCCGGCCTTGGCTGTTATTTCTTTTGCTGTGCAAACGCTTTTTAATCTGATGTGCTTCTAAAGAATAAAAGGAAAATAATATGGGGGCCCAGGAATTTCACCCAAGTGGCAGAGCACACGCCTGACGCATGTGAGCCCTGAGTTTCTGTCCCTGTCCACCTGCCCCTACCCAGCACTGCCCAATATAAAGTACAATTGAAAAAATGAAATCTTTTGGACAAATGTGTTTTGGTTCTTTGGTTTTTTTCTTTTTTTCATTCTGATAATTTATTTTATTTTTTATTTTATTTTTATTAGTGAAACACCATGAGGTACAGTTGTAGACGTACAGATTTTTGTGCTTGGGTTTCAATTATACAATGATCGAGTACCCATCCCTCCACCAGTGCCCATTCTCCACCTCCAGTGCTCCCAGTATCCCTCCCAGCCCCCAGCCCCCCATCCCACCCCACCCCTGTGGCAGGGCATTCCCCTTTGTTTTCTCTCTCCTTTTGGGTGCTGTGGTTTGCAAAAGAGGCATTGACTGGCAGTCATGTTCGGTCTATAGTCTTCTCTCAGCACATATTTTCCATCCTGGAAGGATCCTCCCAACACCCTTTATTTGGTGCTCCCTTCTCTATCTGACCTGCCTTTTCCCCCAGCATGTGCGGCTGGCCTCCAAGCCATGGAGTAAATCTCCTGGTACTTATCTCGGCTATTCTTGGGTGTTAGTCTCCTATTTTATAACGTTCTTTCCTCTTTAGATCTATCCCTCCGTGGAAAATGTGCGAACCAGCTTAGAAGGTTACCCAGGTAAGAGAGGAGAGACTGGTACAGTGTGACAAATACCTCGGAGTATTTGTCACACACGTGAGAAGAGTACTAGTGGGGGCTGGAATGATGGCACAGAAGGTAGGGCATTTGCTTTGCACGTGGCTGACCTGGGTTCGATTCCTAGCATCCCATATGGTCCCCCACCCCCCCCAACACACACACACACACACACACACACACACACACACACACACACACCCCAGCCCGAGCACTGCCAGGAGTAATTCCTGAGTGTAGAGCCAGAAGTAACCCCTGTGCCTCGCTGGGTATGACCCAAAACCAAAAAAAAAAAAAAAAAAAACAAAGTGAAGAGGTTACCTACAGCCCCCCGCCCTCACATCATGACAAGCCTTTTCAAGGCAGGTGGTTGGAGTACCTTCCTCCTTGATGTCACGGGATCGAGACCCGAGGTAAGCCTGTGCGGGCGGAGGCTCTCATGAGGATGCTCGTGAGGATCTCGTGAGGATACTACATCCAAAGCAGTAGCCTGCCGAGTGACTGTCCCCATCGGGACCAGGAGGATCCCTCTCAGCCCCGCACAACAGGTGCAGAGGACACAGCACCTCCCACTTTTGAGTCCAGCCCCCTTTCGCCTCCCCTGCTTGCCGGCTTAGAAGCACAGTGTTTGAGCCAGACTGGCCTCAGCTCCAGAACTGAAGGGCAGGGGCTGGAGCGATAGTACAGCGGGTAGGGTGTTTGCCTTGCACGTGGCCGACCCAGATTCGATTCCCAGCATTCCATATGGTCCTCTGAGCACAGCTAGGAGTAATTCCTGAGTGCAGAGCCAGGAATCATCCCTGTGCATCGCCGGGTGTGACCCCCCCCCCCAAAAAAAAAGAAAAAGCAAAAAACAGAACTGAAGGGGAGCCCGTGATCGGGCCAGGTCCTGATACCTGATCTCTCAAGGTCCTTCTCTCTGAGTGCCAAGGGTCCTCTTGAGAGGTATTTCAACCTCAGGCCAATGCTGTTTCCTAAACTTTTTTTTTCGGGGGGGGGGGGTTGGTTTTTGGTTTCGGCACACCCAGTGATGCTCAGGGGTTCCTCCTGGCTCTGCACTCAGGAATCACTCCTGGTGGTACTCAGGGGACCATAGAGGATGCCAGGGATGGAACCCAGGCCAGATGCATGCAGGGCAAATGCCCTACCCGCTGTTCCCTAAACGTTATGTGGAGTTCAGTAGCATCCAGGAGAGACATTCAGGAACTCTTAGCCCAGAGCCCAGATGGTGTATCTGCATCTGGAAGAGGCGGCCACTCGCTGGGATTGGCTGAGTGCTAGAAACCATGCTCTGAATTAGATTCATGGAGCCCATTGTCTTTGCTTATGAAGCTAAACATGACCCTGCCAGGAATGTGCCAGGAGGGCCGGCCGGGCTCGTACTGAACCATTTGTTGCTTTCAGAGACAAAACCCAAGTTATTTCTCTGAGATTCGGTCCCATCATAAGGTTTGTTTTGTTTCTTTAGGAGATCACTCCCCGTAGTGCTCAAGGTTTGCTTCTGCCTCTGTGCTCAAGGATCACTCCTGGCAGGGCTCTGCAACCATATGTGATGTCTAGGATTGAACCCAGCATGCAAAGAATATCCTACTCCTTATACTGTGTCTTCAGCCCAGTTGAGGTTTTTTTTTTTTTTCCCTTTGGTTGGTTGGTTTTTGGCTTTTTGGGTCACACCCAGCGATGCTCAGGGATTACTCCTGGCTCTGCACTCAGGGATCACTCCTGTCAGTGCTCGGGAAACCATATGGGATGCTGGGGATCGAACCCAGCCGCGTACAGGACAAACACCCTCCCCACTGTACTATCACTCCAGCCTCCCTGTTGAGGTATTTTGGTTGGTTGTATTTTTTCATCTTTATTCTGTGCTTCCCATAGGTTAGACCCGTTTTTAGAGCACAGTGTTTTTGTTTTGTTTTGGTGGGTTTTTTTTTTTTTTTTTTTTTTTTTTTTGCTTCTAGGGTCACATCTGGCGTTGCACAGGGGTTACTCCTGGCTCTGCACTCAGGAATTACCTCTGGCGGTCCTCGGGGAACCATATGGGATGCTGGGAATCGAACCCGGGTCGGCCGCATGCAAGGCAAACACCCTCCCCGGTGTGCTATTGCTCCAGCCCCAAAGCACAGTTTTTAATGGGGGAGGAACACGGTATTTCCAATAACATTAATGTATAAAGTGGTCCTGAAACCCTGGGGGGGTTGGGTGGGTCAGTTATTTCCTTGCATTAGAAATACTGTTGCCTTGCGTAAGTCAGAAAAATTAAAAACCCTCCTTAGATATTCTCTGCGGACGCACGTCCCGGCATGTTTGAAAAGACACTAATGAAGCTCCCATGGGAGTTCCTGTCTTTAAAGGAGGAGCAAGGTGCTGGGCAGCAGCTGGCATGGCCCGGCAAGATCCTCCTGCTCCTGCAAGGCTCGAGTCCTATCCCTGGCGCTGCGTCTTGAAGCCCCGGGAACATGCGTTCTTGTGTGTTCCACTGGCCACTGGATCCCATGGCCTTGCAGGGAACGGGCCTTTCCCTCACACTGACCCCTTTCAGAACTTCACTGCTCATGAGGTTACATGTTCTGTAGCATCTGGCCGGCGGACATACAGGTGGCAGGTGCACAGGAGGCAAAGGAGAGACTGAACCCATCCCCCCCTTACCTCCCTCGGTCTTGGCCAGGCCCAGGGGTTCAAGTGGGGCTGTGGCAGCCTTGCCCACGTGGAGACAGAGGAGGAACCCGGGTTCCCCCCACCGCACCCCAAGCTGGTCCCAGGCCCCCCGGGGATGCAGCTGTCCCGCCTTCTCTGCAGATAGTTTCTCAGAGTTCCATCCCCGAGGAAGGCTCCCCCACCCCCACCCCCGCCTTGGAAGAAACGCCCGGTGCGAGTCTGGGCAGAAACGCGGCTTCGTTATTTTCTTCCCCATCTTCACCATTTGCTCAAGTTTCTTCTCGGTGCAGAAGGCTCCTCAGATCACGTTCCATCGTTTCTCACACGCTGCATTTCTCTTTTTCTTCCTTTAACACAGCCGGGGGCTCTCTTCCCTACAGCATCCAGACAGCTGAGAAACAGAATTGGCTCCATTCCTATTTTCAGTAAGTCATTGGTTTAAATTGCTGCTGTTGCTTCTTCGAGAAGAAGAATGTTTATGTCAGTCTGGCGGGTTGGTTTTTTGTTGGTTTTTTTTTTCTGCCTCCCCCTTCCCCCCCTTTCAAAGAACATTACATAATGGGGCTATATTTTCCGTCTACATGTGTTGGTGGTAAAAATAACTTCAAACAAGGTTTTGAACTCGGGAGGGTGGAAGGGGGGAGGGGGGATAGGTTTTTAATACCGGAGAAAGGGCTTTTTTCTCAGTGCAGTTTCCATTTATACGTTGGCATGCAAAGCCAGGATCAATGAAAGACCACGTTGGGAGCTTTGAATGTACAGAAGCAGCACTTCCGTTCCTATTTCCAGTCTCGAAAAACACAGCCGTTCTGTCTACACGTGGTACCTCGGGTGACCCCAGGCGTGTAGAAGCAAAGAACCCAGCCGCTGTGTCTCTGGGGTGCAAGGTGGGGTTCGGTGTGCTCTAGGGGTTCCAGTTAACAGGAGTGTCACCACACTGAATGACACTGCCTCCTCCCTCTCCTTCCAGCGAGTTCCTGCCTCTTATGTTCCATGCCCTCTCCTGGTCCCATGCTTCCAGAAGCTTCTGGGCTGCCGGACTATATAGGCAGGCTGCTTACCTCTCAGTGGTGCTCACTCTAACTCGGTGGCGTGGCTTCTGTGGCACTCAGTCTAGCCCAGTGGTGTGGCCTCTCCGTGGCACTCTTAACACAGTGGCGTGGCCTCCCAGTGACACTCAGTCTAGCCCACTGGCGTGATGTCCCAGCAACACTCAGTCTAGCACGTGCAGGGCCATGGTTGACACCTGGGCCTCCCGCAAGCAAAGCGGGACATGTCCACTAACCTTTGGAGCCACTTCCTAGGCCCTGTGTCTTCGTTCCTTGGCGGGAAGCAATTTCTTCGGGAGGAGAAGGTGTTAGTTTCAATGGTGTCTTGGTTCACGTGACTTTAGTAATCCAATATTGAACCTGCCTGGTCCTGATTTCCTTGGAGGCCTCTGCCCGCAGGAACCCGTTAGACCCATGAGGAAGAGGCATTACCCAGCGACCCAGGTGTTTTCTCCGCACAGAATCTTCCTCCTGGGGTTAGAGCAATAGCACAGCGGGTAGGGCGTTTGCAATGTACACAGCCGACCTAGGTTTGATTCCCAGCATCCCCTATGATCCCCCGAGCACCGCCAGGAGTAATTCCTGAGTGCATGAACCAGGAGTAACCCCTGTGCATTGCCGGGTGTGACCCAAAAAGAAAAAAAAAATCTTCCTCCTTCCATCTTGGAACATGAACATTAGCATTTGACTCGAGTCAGCGTGCGTGATTGCACTGAAAATTGGAGGTGTTGACATCAAATGGGGAGAATTTTTTTTTTCAGGGTGGGGTGGGAGAATGTCCCAAGTGATGCTCAGGAGCCCCTCAAGCTGAGGAGGCTGCAGGTCTTGGGCCCAAAGTTGTACTGTCACTGCCCTGCCGTGCCAGAGATTGCCAGGCCATGCCCTATGGTGGTCGGGAGACCCCGTGGTGCCCGGGACCAACCAGAACCAGCCACTCGCTTTGCATTGCGTTAACTGGTTTCCATCTCACCTGCCCCCACTCATTCCCTTCATATCCTGGCTGTTTGTCTTTGTTTCCATCGACGAGCTTTTCCTCAACTTGTGCTCATTGTGGGAATGTGATTCCTGCCTTTTAGCATCCCCTAGTCTGGGGAGGAGATAAGACATCAACCACACAGCAGAAATATGCACGCATACATGTGTGTGTTCGAGGCCAGGGCGGGCAGCATATTCATCGGAAGGTTAGGACGCTGCTTTCTGCAGGTGGTGGTACGTTTTTTCCAACACAGACCCACCCACATGCTGAAATGAACCTGTGTCTTTCTGTGATTTGGGCAGCGTGTCAGCAGAGATCTCGCATTCTGACGAAGGACTATACTGTTTGTTGGGTTATAGAATTCACATTTCTCCTATCATTACCTAAAATGAGGATGATGGTAGACACGTACGTAGCTCCTGATGGGCGATGAACTTGTGTTTCCTATCCCCAGCAAGTGGACGGCAGAGGCCTCTGGCCGCAGCAACGCCATGCCGCATATCAAGACGTACATGAGGCTCTCTCCAGACTTCAGCCAGATGGCTTGGTTCCTTGTCACAAGGTGAGGAGTCCTGAGGCTCCTGAGGGGAGGAACTTTTTATTTGGGAGGTTGGGGGTTGGGGCCCTACCAGATTGTGCTGGGGGTGTTAATCCGGGCTTTGTGATGCCAGAATTGAACAGGAACCAACCACATGCAAAGCAAGGCCTTAACCACTAAATTATGTCTTCAGCAGTGCTCAAGGGCTAATCCTGACAGAAAATGGGGACCATATACAGCACCAGAGGTGGAACTTGAGTCAGTCACATGCAGGACCAGCACCTCCACAGCCCTGTGCTATCACTCTGGCTTCCCTGGAGCGGTTTTTTGTTTGTTTGTTTTTTCTTTTTGGGGGTCCCACCCGGTGATGCACAGGGGTTACTCCTGGCTCTGCACGCAGGAATCACTCCTGGCGGTGCTCGAGGACCATATGGGTTGCTGGGAATCGAACCCGGGTTGGCCGTGCGCAAGACAAATGCCCTACCCACTGTGCTATTGCTCCAGCCCCATGTTTTGTTTTGTTCTACTTTTTTTTTTAACATATTTATGATTCCTCCTCTGAGTTGTTCATTTTGGTTTGGTTTGGTTTGGTTTGGTTTGGTTTGGTTTGGTTTGGTTTGAGGTCCACACTCAGCTGTGTTCGGTGTTAACTCCTTACTCTGCTCAGGGATCACCCCTGGTGGTGCTCCGGGAAGACTGTACGAGGTATTGGGGATCAAAGCAGTCAGCCATGTGTGAGACGAGCACCTCAACCCCTGTGCACTCTCCCCAGCCTCCAAACACCAAACATTTGTGAGCAGACATGTTCTCCGGGGTGGGGGTGGGGGGGGAGCTAATATTGATACAGGAGCCAAATGATGGGTAGTATGAATTTTGACTAATTCGATGATGCGTCTTTAAAAAAAAAAAATTCCATCTGGTTCTTGAGACATTTCAGAACCATCCCGCACTGTGTCAGCGAACAGCCGCTTACTCTGCAAGTCTGGACCTGCCCTCTCGCAAGGTGGCGGGAAGTAGGGTGTCCTGCAGAGCGGAATTGATGTGGCAGTTCACAAAGACTGTTTCTTCATGAATGTGCTTGTATTTGGGGTCTTTCTGGCTTGGTAGTAAGTGAACTCACGTCATCCTGCAGTCTGCGTGGGTCAACAGTGGTGACACGGTTTCACAGGGCCTGCTGCATGGAATGGAGTGGTCATACGTGGCTCATCTGCGCACCCCTCTGGGGTGCGACGGCTTCCCAGGTGGATCACTGAATCCACTTGCTCATGACCGTAGGCCTTAGACCCCCATTCTTTTGGTGACTGTCCAGCTGGGAAACGTTCTCTGGTCCAGCGTAGCACCTGGGCCTCTGAGGGGGGTCAGATCACAACGGGGATAAGGGGGACATCCCATATCTTCCCTCCACAGCCTCCTGGGTGTTTCTTACTCACCTTGTTTTGCCCGCCTCGGTCACTGGCCTTGATGTGGAATCAGTGCCATGCTCAGGACCTGGAGGCTTATTTCCCACCATGGAGCAGATGACCGCAGTGACAGAGAAGGGGCCTCATGACCGTCTGGACTCTCAGGAGGCAGCTTCACAGGCACCAGAGGGAAGCACTGAGCTCCCTGGCTTTGCTAGTGGCACCCAATTACATGTTGAAGATGATCGGTCTCGGACCAGAGCAGTGGTCCAGCAAGCATGGTGCTTGCCTTGAACACGGCAGGCCCAGAGTTGATCCCTGGCATCCTATATGTCCGCTGAGCTCTACTGGAAGTCACCCCTGAACACAGTGCCGAGGAGGAACCAGTCCTGAGCCCCGCTGGGTGTGGCCCCCACACACATACCCCTCCCACACAGAAACAAAATCTTAGGAGTGATCTAGTTCCTGGTCTTACAAAGCTCATAACATCAGAAGGGTGCGCCTGACTCCTGTCGTGAGCTCTCAGTACCTCGGGGACCATCTTTTCTCTGCCCATCATCAGTAGCGTATGGTCACGGAGTCTCACCCAACTGACACTTCACAGACATGGAACCCGACTGCCAGAAGTCAGGGGTCGTGGTCCTGTGACTTCCTCTGACCACAGGCCTTGGTCGGGTTTTCGTCTGGCTTTGGGTTCCTCCTTTTTCTGCGCAAATACTTCGCCACGGTTTTCATCTCCTCCCTCGCCTCACGGTTTGACACGGGGTTCCCACTGGAAGCATTTCTCCTAGGCCCTGGGCCATCTTGCCATCTTGGTTGCCCCAGTGACTGCCCAGATTTGGCACATTACCACTGTAAAACCATCGCTGGTGCGTTCCCAGCCTAGCCAACCACCGGCATGAGGAGTGCACTGTGTCTGGAGAAGAGAGCAGGCTTTTCTCATGCCCACCCTTCCTTCCCTCCAAGAATGCTCTCCCCAATGCTTAGTGACGATTGGTGTGCCGCCCGCATTTCCTTTTCAGCCAACAGGTGCCCGCGGTGCCTTTTAGTGCTCCGAGACCCCAGTCCCACCACCAGTGTGACCTTCCCACCACTGTAGCCCCACCTCCCAAGCCGCCACACAATAATCAGTTTCATATTGCGTGTTGCAACTGCATGGCTAAAGGAAGTACCAGAAATGCTTCAGTTAGAGAAAATCCGTGAACATTGTTCTATCTCCCCCACAGGGTTTTCCATGCCTGCGGATTCACTGAGCTTGTCAGTTGCTTGTGGAGCCTTCTGTGTTGTCTTTGTTGGTTGAGTTTCGTGGGCTTCTCTGTTACTTTCCCATCTAGTTTGGTGCCCCGCTGGGGCTGTCAGGATGGAGGAACCGGGAGGTGTCTCAGTCCAGAAAAACTTCAGGATCTGTAGAAGTGGGACTGTGAGTTAAGTTGGTGGCGGCCGTGGGGGGCAGATACAGCTGCCGGGGCATCTGGAACTTCCGGGAAATGGGGGGAGTCTGCCCACTCCACTGCGAGAAGACTGCAGTACCTGGGGTGTCTCTGCAGAGATTAGTCCTGAAGCAGCAGGGTTGGGTGGCAGTGGGGTGTGGGTGCCGCTGTTGGGGCTGTGGCAGGGTAGGGACTGGGTGAGTTCTCAGGGCACCCCAGAGTTCTCAGCAGAGAGACCCGTGTATCCACAAATCTGAGCAGCCTAGTGGGCGTCCTCCCAGAGATTTAGCTGTGCAGTGACAAGCAGGGCTGGTCACTGATAGGGTGGTGGCCGAGGGAGGGGGCGGGCCGCCCTGCCAACAGCCCAGCGCTTTACTAATGATCTCTGCAGAGATGCCAGACCCCCCCCCCAAAATTGCAGGTACTCTGGGGTCTTCTCAGAGTAGAGCTGGCAACCTTCCCCGGCCCCCCAGAGTTCCAGCAGTCCTGGCAGCCAGCTCACTGACCCCTCTTCTTCACGTCAGTCTTCAGTGTCCCCTTTTGAGACCCTTCCTAGCTCAATAGATAGATAGAGTCTCCATTTCTATGCTGGTGCTTTGGGACACCTGCTTCATCTCCAGGGGGCTCGCTGTGGTTATTGATGCCGTACGCTGTATGTGATGAGCCACTGCAAGGCTTCTGCCCAGCTTGTCTGCCCTTCTCAGCTCCTCCCACTGTACCCGGCCTCTGAACTGGTACCAGCACACTTTGAAACAGTGCCCCTTAGGGAAACTTTTATTTTTATTTTTTATTTATTTATTTTGTTTTTTGGGTCATACTTGGCGATGCACAGGGGTTACTCTTGACTCATGCACTCAGGAATTACCCCTGGCAGTGCTCAGGGGACCATATGGGATGCTGGAATCGAACCCGGGTCGGCCGCGTGCAAGGCAAACGCCCGACCCACTGTGCTATTGCTCCAGCCCCCAAAACTCCTTTTTTAAATTGCAGGCAAATAGGCACCTAGTAGGGAAAGGGGGAGAAGCGCATGTTTGTCTCCCCTCTCCCTGTCCCCAGCCTCTTCGTGACCTCAGACCCCTCCAGAACTTTCCTTGGTTTGCAAAGCTGTAGCCCCAGTTACCTTTTCGGCCCCAGGAAATGACCACGGTGGCATCGTGTCAGATCCTGGGAGAATCGCGTGGAGAGGCTTGCCGAAGAGCCAGGTCCTGATCTGGCGTCCTCCGCTTCCTAGCCTGGCCGCTGAAATTTTGGAAAGGTCACTTACTAGTGGTGGCTTTTGTCTTTCCAATGGCATCTCATTTTGCAGCAGCACATTGGTGGAACCGGGACAAATAGTTTGCAGACTGCTAAGTAGAAATTTTTCTTTTAAGAGTTAATTTGTGGTTAGAGAATACTATGTACTCTTTTAAAATATGGTTTATAAAATGCAAGAATTGGGGGGCCGGAAAGGTAGTACAGTGGGCAGGGCACTTGCATTGCATGAAACCAACCTGGATTCACTCCCAGGCATCCCGTACGGTCGCCCGGGCCCTGCCAGGAGATCCCTAAGGCAGAGCTAGGAGTAATCCCTGAGCACTGCTGGGTGTGGGCCTCTTTTTTTTTTTTTTTAATGAAACTGTTACCAGGTGTAACACGTGACAGTAACTTGTGTAGACCAGGCTAATCCATGGATCAGCAGTTGAAAGCCACCGACTTACGTGCCATGTGGCTAGTAGGTGACCTGAGCATTCATCCGTGCTTCTGGCCTTCACTGGATCCAGTATGCAGCCCATTTAAAACTCAGTCCAGGGGGCTGGAGAGATAGCACAGCGGGTAGGGCGTTTGCCTTGCACGCAGCCAACCCAAGTTCGATTCCCAGCATCCCATATGGTCTCCTGAGCACCGCCAGGAGTCATTCCTGAGTGCAGAGCCAGGAGTAACCCCTGTGCATTGCCAGGTGTGACTCAAAAAAGGAAAAAAAAAACTCAGTCCAGAATGACTTGGAGACGGTCATCTTCGTCCAGCCATAAGCCCGAGTCCAGACGAACTTCATTCAGATCAGCACCTGGCCCATTAATGGGCTGGCCACTTCCTCTCTTGGTGGGTAGCGTTTCTGGGCAGCTATTTATAGTTCTCCATCCAACCAGGAAGTCATCCCCTGCTTCATCCCCTGCTCGAGGGGCACCGCCTGTTGTTATGGAGATGCGGGAGATGC